TTGAATCATCAGGCGTTTTGTTATACTGTATTTGCTTTTGTACATCAGTAGTTTTAATCTGTTTGATTGTTAAAATAGCTATCCCTATTTCAAATCTAGTGCTAATTTACAAATCTACAAAAACGAATACATAGATGAAGTCCATTTATCAATATATCAAGATATTCCAGCGGTTTACATTTTAAATACCGAAACATGTATCTCGGTAGAGCTGAGAAACAAAGCCCATTCCTGTAAATTTTGTATGTAATGTGCACTTGTATATTACAGCAATACAACGATATCGAATCATTCTCAAAACATGTTAACAAAATATTACTTGTATTATAAAGGTTTGAAATATTAAGATCTCAAAACAATCGTCAGGTAGTGTAGTATAAAGTGAAAAAATGTTTCATAAAGGTCAAGAATCATTAGGATTGCCCCTAACTTTAATGGCACGTGATTTATTTTTAAATAATTTCTAATGGTAAAACGTACTTTACCTTGAGTTTAAATTTGTTCTAAGATATAGAATACTCAAGATTTCAGATCAATGTACCCTACCAGGAAATTCAATACATCAACCTTATAATTTGAGTCTCAATGCAAAATAACTGATGCATATCTGTTTCGAAATTTTAGAAGCATTACACAAAGAGGCTATTAAAACGTTCTACCTGAGTGAATATCGACTGTGTTATGCGTTAGTTAAGTTATTGCGAAATAATAATGTATTGGGAGTATTCAGTGTGGCTTTTACAAGCTTTTATTTAACTTGCTTCCTCTGTCCTAATCATGTCTAGATCGAAAAGGGAGAACGAAATTTCGGGCTTCTCTAACAAATCAATTTCTTTGAAATTCGGCCCGTGGGACAAGACTCAATAACAATGCAATATGACATTATATTTTACTTCATTGGATGCATATTATTTTTTTATGAATTAATTAAAATTTTCTGAAATAAGTAGGTATTTTTATTCAACTATTCCAGACCATTGTTTTTTTTTTTCAGGCATCTCCCCCCCCCCCCCCCCCCCCCCCGCCTTCCGAATGAAATGGATTTTTTTATAGAAAACATATATATTTACCAGTCTCCGATTTTATTTACACTTATTTAAACAGTAGAGTATTATAATATATTTAAAGAAAATCACTTATTTTCTCCTTTTTAGTATATTATTACATAAAAGCTTGTTATTAAAAAGTTTTTAATTATTTTTTTATATGGTTAGTTGTTGAAGTGTTTTATATAGACACACACTCTGTGATATTGTAGTTACGAATTAGTAGCCGGTATAATGAAGTTGATGTGGTGGTTTGTTATTAAAAACTAAATTTGACTAAATTTTGTATTATTTTTATATTTATTTTAAACATTATACACAATACACAAATTATTGAAATTAAAATCTCATAATATTAAATATTTTTTTAAATATAAAATAATATTAAAACGATATAATTATGAAAACTTTACTTGTACCTTATCGTATAAATGTTTTCTGGTGGTTGCAAAAAAAAAAAGAATTACCTCCTTTTGGCTAATGCGCTAAATAGGAACGCTGCGTTTTACTTCAATGTGTGGTTTCTATCGGCGAAGCATATTGTAAGGACAAGTTAATAAAAATTGTGATTTCTTAAAATGTATGCAACACATCAACATAAAATCACAAACGGTTTACAAAACACTAGGCTAAAAAAAACTCAATGGCAGTAATTGCAATAAAATTTTTATACACTATTACACAACCCAGTTGCTCGTTGAAAAAACTGTCGGCTAAATAACATAAAACAAACCAATTTCATACAACACCCACCCTACACTTTGTAAAGCATTTTAAACCCTAATAAATCCGTCTTCAGATATCTGAACTCCCATTAAGCCCCTTTGTGTCATCCGTTTAAATTTTAAAATCAAACTTAAATTAAAAAATAATAATTAAACTAATTAAAAATAAACAAACAAAATATGAACAAAGTAATTAAATTAAAATTAAAAATTAAAATCAAATTAATTAAAATCAAACAAATAATCAAATTACGTAACTAGTTAATAAAAATTAATTTAAAACAAAATAAGTAAAAAATTCAAACTAATTAAAAATTAAACTAAAACAAAATAAATTAAAAAATTTAAATTAAAAACTAATTAAAAACTAACAAACTCATTAAAGACTAATTAAAAACTCATTAAAACAAATTACGTAACTAGGTCACCTGTGATGATTACGTCACAAGGTCACTCCCTTCACCTGACCTACTGACCCACTCCCCCTGCGCCTATATCTCATTGTACCTCCGGCTCCTTCACCCTCCCCACCTGCTCCCAGGTGGGGAGTATTTTACTATATCTCATTGTCCCTCCGGCTCCTCCGCCTCCCCCACCTAACCCAGTTTGGTGAGTATTTTCCTATATATCCTTTGCTCCTGCTCCTGCTCCGCATCCGCATCCTGCTCCCCCATACTACCCAAAAGGGACCTAATATACTACTATTACGGTGAGAACAAAAAATCACAAACATGTTGTGCATTTTAAAAAAACAAGGAATAATTCAGTAATGTTTATGTCTCCGCTATGTTTAGTATCTAGAAGTTTTTACCCGCCTTCGTCTTTCTGATGGCCAGAATTCAGTTTAAGTCAAGAATATAATTATGGTTTTTATTTCCCTTAAATTTAACAGAATAAAAAATATCTAAGGTTTATTAGTAACATATATACAATAAGGCATTAAAAAGGACTAAACAAATGTCCTATTTGTGTATAAAAAGAATCAAAATTTCAAACGCATCGAATATTAAACTTTTCTTCATTTCAGATGAATTTCTTTTAAATTCGACATCAACATTTCCCAAAACTCCTCCGAGTCCTCATACAACAAACAACGGTGATTCTGGTTTCTGATGTAGGTCACGATCTCCACGGGCCAGGTGCTGACCTGAAAGTGACCCACAAAAACAGGCACGATGATCCTATCAGAACAATTCATTTCGTGCATGATGGCCAGGTTCATCTCGAGTTCCCGGCTCCTGTCTTCAAAGATATCTCGCGAGAGTAGGATGAGAGTCTTTCTTGTACCGGCAATGGCTCCAGCTATGTTGTTTTGTTGTGGGCCAGCTGGGAAGTCGTCCTCGCCGTTTATAAATGTGACGTGGTTCTCATTTAGCCGAGGAAAGAAGTTCTTTCTTGCAAGCTGAATGTACTGTGGTTCCTGAAAATGTTTATAAGGTATTTTTAATATCTTTAATTAGATCAGCATATAGATTATTCTTAAAGGACTTTCTTGGTTACACATACCGTAACAATATATATCATTTATCCACACTCAATGTTATTTATTTCTGTATAAACTAAACACGCTTCTCTAAAATTTATTAGCTTTCTCAATTCCACTTACCAATAGAATTTATGATATATACATACACAAAAATATTTTTCATCACGGTAGGCCTACATTTGAATGGATCATAGAACTCTTAGGAGAAAGTTACACCAAGAACTTAAGGTTTTATTTTAAGATAGTGTATACTTATTCAATTTATTTATTTCATAAACTGTTAAAATCATTTAATAATTAAAATGCTTTTAAATGAAAATCATGAAAACTTGTGAGTACATGTGAAAACATATTATGTAGAAGCATGTAGAAGCATTTTAAATAAACTTTAAGTAGTAATTTACGCTATTTCCGATTTCTCAAAAAAACGGATGTGAATTTATAAAGTACTAATAATATCCCGCACTATTATGCACATTTTGTTTGGCGTTCACTTGGCAAACAATTAGGATTTCAAAACATAATCAAAAAAATCACATTTTTGTAAGATCAATTTACCACGTGATTTTTTAATAAATTCTAACGCAATTCCTGTGAGTAATTAACCAAACCAACATTGAATTATTTACTTCATTAGAAATTAAGGGAGTAGACTCCGAAAAAAAAAACGAGGAAACAATCTTTCTAATTAATAAGCCTTCTTTAAGGCTTTTTTTTAAATCGCTACATATACTATAATGTTAACTTACTTGTTCATATATTATAAAAACATCTGCAACTGGCTTATACGTCAAAAGAACATCGCCAATGTGAAGTTTCTTTGATCCAATGTAATAGAGATAAGCAAATTTCCATCTGTTGTAGTAAAACATGGATGACAACAAGACGATGCCGAGAACGATGTAAAACGTAACGAGAGTTCCAATGAAAATTTCCTGTGAGACACAGCTCTTCATTAACTGTGGGTAGAATGTGGCCAGTTGGTCATGTGATAAGTTGGAGCCGTCAGCTGTTGTACAGGTGATGGAGTCTACACTATCGAATATATCTGGGTCGGTGATTAGAAGATGGACAAACGACAGGTACTCACAAGTACACATCAGGGGATTGGATTGGATTTTAATTTTAAAATTTGGGTTTCTGGCTTTCAGTTGTTTGAAATCTTTGCAATTTTGCTCAGAAAATCCAGTCAAAAGATTTCCAGTTAAGTCAAGCACTTCCATTTTCTGAACTCCATTTAAATCGACTTCCAAATGTGTTAGTGAATTTCTTGAGAGATTTAAATATTTTAAATTAATGTTATTCTGAAATATATTTCTAGATAAAGATGTTATAGTGTTGCCACTGATGTTCAAGGTCTCCAATTTGGTCAGTGTTGAGAAAGCTATTCCTGAAATGTCAGTGGCCAATGTCGGACCAAGAACGTTGTCATGTAAAAGAAGTGTCGTCAAATTTGTGAGGTATTTGAAAAATGTTAATCTCATTTTGGTACAATAATTTTTTGATAAATCAACATGTTGAAGAGTTGGTGGTGCTTTTATGGGCCCTTGCCAGCACCGAGCCATGTTGTTTGAGTAGTCAAAATATCTCAGTACTTTATTATTTTTTACAGTAATTGCAGGGAAAGAATATTCTACTTTGATTGTGCTTAATAAGAAAACTTCAAGGCTCGTCGGCAGTGCAAAATACAATATTTCAGTTGATTGATTTATTATTCGTGTATCTGAACTAGCAGTTTTATTTCTATTGCTGTTATGGTTAGAATCCAAATGTTTTGAATTTGTTTTACATTCGAAGTCATATATTATATTTGCATCATCTGGCGTTTGTGTGTACTGAAGTTGTATTGACGCGTCAATAGTTTTTACCTGTCCCAGAGTTAAGCTAGCAATAAAGATATAATACCTGGCCATTTTGTTATCTCTAACAGATAAATACCTAAGTGTGTGAGGCAGGTCTACAAAGGCAAAAGCGTCTGTTGTGTAAATTCCATTGCTGGATATGTCAAGAGATTCCAGTGGTGTATATTTTAAATAACGAAACATTTGTCTTGAAACTGCAGAGAAATAAGGCCCATCGATGTTTATTGCTGATAAATTGAGCACCTTTATATTAGAATCGTTCAATGACATTGAACCATTTTCAAACCCTGTCAGTAAAAGCATTCGAGTGTTATTGAGATTTAAAAAGATCAGATTTGAAATAGGCCTGAAAATATTTGGTGGTAAATATTTTAACTGACAGCCATTAAGATCTAGCGAGAATGGTTTTGGTGACACGATGTTCTCAAAAAAATTGTCAGGTATTGAAGAATTGAAGACACAGAACGTTCCTGGTGGGTAGTTATTCATGTGTATTGTCTCTAAATTCTGCAACTTTCTGAAGCCACGCCCAAGCTGAATAGGGTATCCGTCAAGGAAAATTTCCCGAAGATTCGTCAGCTTGGAGAGAGCTTCGTCTGGGTAGGTAGAAAAATCAAACGTTGGGTTGTTGCCTTCTAAATGTATTATCTCTAACTGGTTAAGTCCGATAAATGCTTCCAGCTCAAATGTATTGTTGTAGTATTTCAAACTGTTGTGTTGGAGGGACAGGAATGTCAAAGAACTGAGACCGAAGAATGAATAGTTTAAAATCTGAATAAGATTGTTGTGTGACAAATCTAAAATTCTCAGCTGTGAAAGATTTGAAAATACAAACGGCTCAATGTATATCAAAGTAGTATGTGTTATTTGCAGTATTTCTAATTTAGCTTGATTTGAAAATATGCAAACATTTTCCAGTGTTTCAATTTTATTATACGACAAACTTAATTTTTTCAAATTCGAGAGCTCTTTGAAATCATTGCAAGTAATGTTTGTGATGCGGTTGTTCTGTAAATCCAATGCGGTAACTTGTGGTGGAATATCTGGAATATTCTGTAACCTTCTGTTTGAACACGTTACACTAAATTCATGTTTGTTTATATCCTCTGAGCAATAGCAAGGTAAAGGACACAATGACGTCATTGGTTTTTTGTCTTCTCTGATAGCCTGATAGGTATTTTCTGTAGTTTCTTTTTGTGACGATTGAATTGGTGAAATAGTTATCAACAAGAGAACAATAGAGCAGATAATACTGTTTAAGGGAGTCAACATCTTTACTTGTAGATTTAACCTATATCAAAAAAATATACCATTAAGATTAAAATTATTTGAATTTTCTAATTATAACAAAACGGGTATTAAGAAAGAAATATAAATTTGTTAAATTTTAAATAAACAATGCGTTTCGTGCCATGTAAAATATATTTTATTAAATAATATCCTTATACCTAATAACAAATGTTCAAATCAGAATAAGTAGGCTTCATGTATAATACCTATGCCTACATAATTTTATGATAAATATTTGAACAAGATTTACTTTGAACAATGTGATATTTTTAAATTACCATACTAGTTTTAACTTATTTAAATGACGTTATTCTCTTTAGTGTCTTTTTGTATCGATTTAATATTTGAAATATGTATAAAAAAGAGAACAATAATGCAGATTGTACAGTTTCCGAAGCCAAATTTTTTACTTATAGATGATTTAATCTTTATCAAATAGGCAGAGGCGTAGCTTGGAGGGCTGGGGCTGGTGCAGGGGGGGGGGAGGCTTTTAGGCCAACTAAAATCGCAAAATAACAATGGATTTTGAGTAAACAACGTTTAGCACTTAGAAAAGAAACTTCTTCGTTCTTAATAATTAGTTTTGAAAGGGATCGAACCTTATCTGCCAGAAGGTTTGAAATCGAGACTTTTTTGCCGACTCGACCACGCCTCTATCACAATTAAGGATACGTGTCAACTGGTTATGCGCCATTGAGGCCATTGACTCCGATTTCAGCCTGCTTTTCTTTTTGGATTTGCTTCCATAGCCTTTGTCCAACCAAGAATAAACTACAAGGCAACAGTTGTTTGATTTTGGTTGTCTCTCCCCAGCTAAAGAGCCTCATCTGCCCGAGGGTTCGAACTCGAGACTTTTCGGGTTTAGCAACCATGAGCTTTACCGACTCGACCCCCTAGAAAAGAAACTAATTCTAAGATTGTATAACTTTTTTATAAAACAGTTGGAAAGTTAGTAACCTTAAAACCCGCTTTATCCAAGATGGTTGGGAGGTGTGCGTGTGTGTGTGTGGAGGGGTGGGGGCGCTTTTTTCGGGAACAAAAATCGCAAGGCATTTGAACTGGATTGGTGAGGAGATAACTCTTTAAACACTTAAAAAAGAAACCAATTGTATTAACGCGTAATGTATAATTTCACTATCCAGTTTTGTTTAGAAATGACGCGACTAGTTCTTTGTAAGATTCTTACGATTCTCTCAACTTCAACGTGAGAGATTAGATACTTATACTTGATTGCATCACATCTTGCCTAGATCACTGTATTAAAGAGAAATAAATATCACGGATTCTTGAATCGCTATCCGATCAGTGAAATAGCATACGGTCGGAGCGAGTGGGCGGAAGTCGATACCCTTGCCGAAATTTTAAGAGCTAAAACATAAGTATATTGTACCGAATAGATTTTTTTTATTGCTTGTTTTATAACAAGTCCTAATACTGCAATTTTCATATAGTTAAGGCCACTAGACCTAGTAAACGATGTAAAAAATGGTACAACACGACAACAGGTGATGCTTTGTCACTTTGTTCAACCTAACTGATAATTTAAAACTATAATACATTATTATCGAAATTGTTCTAAAGACACAACCAAAAGTAGACGAAATAAGCTTGCATCTTATACAAAGTACACACTAATGCAGTAGCTCTTAAACTTTTTGGAGCTACCGAAACTTACCTCTTAGTTTATTCTCCACTGTCTGTAATCTACCTCCGAGCCATACAGTAAAAGAGACTTCACATTTAGCTATAGATCCTGATTGAATCTTTTTGACAATACATTTGAATTCCACATTGGCTTAGAATGTTAAAACGCGTATTGTTGCTGTTGATTCTAATCAGAACGACATGGGCGGTGCTACTGTTATTAAAAGGGTTATTACTACTTCTTCAATCAGTACAATTAGTTCTGCATTTGTTGGTTGATTGTGTTCTAGAAAGCAGAGCACATCTGCGAAATCCAAGACTTCGAGCTGTTAAAATCTGTTAGATTCCAGTTTGTTTCCTCTAGCTTGTTTCGTTATACTATCAATCAGTCAACGAAATACCCATGTCGTATTCCAGGGGTCTCGAAACTTTTCAGCCCGAGGGCCGCATCAACTATCAAATATCAGTTCGGGGGCCGGTTTCTTCCAGACATCTCTTTCAGTGGCGGACCCCCCCCCCCCCACCCCCGCCCCAACGAAATATAATTTATATAGAAATATATACATATTTCTGCTCATAACTTTCTCACAACTTAGCCATTTTACTGCTGTGTAATAGGGTAAGTCTTGCGATTTTGTGTTTGTTTCTTTCGACATTACTGCCTCTGAACTATCGATGGTTGAGCCCATGTGATATAAAATTCACCATCTTCACCACCTGATTCAGTACACTGCTAATGTCCATATATTTAGCACACAAAGCTTTCTGGTGAATAATACAGTGTAGGAACATTGGTTGCAGAATGCTTTTTTCTCATTTGCTTTTCCAATCAAGCCTTTCTTTTTGCCACTCTTGTACCTTTCTCCATCAACAGTCAGATAACAGGTTAGTCCAGTCCAAGTTATAATCAGCGTTTTTTTTAGTCATTGAATATATCCTTTCCGGTATCAGTGTCATGCATGTTATGTAGTGAAGCCAGCTCTTGTGTTATGTTCTTGTCTTTAACTACACCTCTAATGAACACAAGCAGCTGAGAAGTGGAACATCTGTCCAGCGACTCATCCATTGCAATTGAAAAATGGCGAAACTTGCTTGTATTTTTCGCCATTTGAGTCACAATGTTTTCACCAATGTCTGCAACACGGCGGGCAATGGTATTTGCGCCCAAAGCTACATTTTCAAATTGTTTTGAATTTTCTGGGCAAAGTTCCTCAGCCATCTCCAACAAACATTTTTTCCAATGGAAAAAAAATATCTCCGCTGGCCGGACGAATGGACGTCGCGGGCCGCATCCGGCCCGCGGGCCGTAGTTTGGAGACCCCTGTCGTATTCCAATGCGTACTATAAATGTTTCAGATAAGCTGCACTTGTATATCACTTGTATGTCCTTATTCTAACAAACTAATAATCCAACTATATACCATATCACAAGAGAGATCGTTCCAAAAATAGAACATAAAAAGCTGGTCTTAACAAATTAGCGCTTGCTACAAATCACCTTTTAAACTCAGATCAGGCATATTTTTTTCTGACATTACTAATATTTTGTAAAAGGAAACCTCATCTTAATGGGAATTTAATTGGCGTAGAGTAAAGTTTTAAGAAACGAAAATCATACACTGTAATTATCAAACATTTTCCGGACTGTCGCACACACGCTTATACACATAAACCTACACTCTTACACACACACATTCTTATACACATACACGCTACACACACACGCTTACAGACACGATGTATGTGTGCGTATATATATATTTTTTTTTATTTATTTACACGCACACATACATATATATCTATATATCTAAATATATACGCACATAAACATATATATATATATATATATATATATATATATATATATATATATATATATATATATATATATATATATATATATATATATATATATATATGAAGGGCTCAGTAGAAAAAGTACTTAAGTGTATTTTGAGAGTTTTGAGAAAAATGAGTGCAAAGTTTTTAAATTGTTATTGAAATACCAAAACAGCTGATGCAGCGTATTTAAATTAAGCTACTTCGGTACTTTTTCCATCGCCCAAATTTACAGGGATGGTTAAGTGGACGTAGTCAAATAATATACCGGTCTTAACTCATTTTTGACAAAATGTAACTTAAGTACTTTTTCCACTGAGCCCTTCATATATATATATATATATATATATATATATATATATATATATATATAGAGAGAGAGAGAGAGAGAGAGAGAGAGAGAGAGAGAGAGAGAGAGAGAGAGAGAAGCGGGGGGGGGGCGCCAAATCGAAAGTTCGCCCCGGGCGCCGGAAAGGGTCGCTACGCCTCTGAATATAAGCCTATATCTTTAGGATTAAAATGAACGACTGTTGTGAAAGAAAAATAATTTAGTTAAATAAATATATCAATAAAACAAGCAATATGTTTCGCTCAATATTATTTTGAGTCTCCGTATTAGTCATTTTGATTAAATAATATCATTACACCTAACAACAAATTTTCGAATAACGAAACGCAGGCTACATATATAATATAGATATCAATTGTTTTATAATAAAAATATTTGAGCAAGATTTACTTTGAACAATGTGGTATATTTTAGAAAAGAAGCTATTTTAATTATTTAAATGACGTATTTAGACTTATAATTAAAATACAAATAAAAAACTAACAATGCTTTTAAAGATTTTAAGTAGCCTTTGTATTATATTTTGGTTATATCAAATTAAGGAATCGTGTCAACATCACTCATTTGTAAAAGAAATTGTGGTATTATAAACGTATTCCAAAAAATAGGAATTATGTTTACTTACATAAATCTGTGTGTAAAAATAATGTTCTATATTTTAGACCAACTAGATGTACTGAATCTTCAATGCACGTCGTTTGTTTGTATATGACTTCTGTCACATGTATGAGAGAGTTTAGGCAAGAGAATGTTTGTGGCAAGAGATAGCAACGTTCTTAAATTATTTTGATATAATCAGAATATAAATCACTTTTATTATTTGGTTTTAAAAATACATGGTGTATGAACGTGTCTAAAGCCTGAATGGAATTCGTTTCCGTACTTTGGAACACTTTCTTTTATGTTGTTCGATGATTTATTGGCGATCGCTCGATAATGTTAGCATACGCTAAAAAAGAGAAAATAAAGTAATGTCTCTTCTAAATGTTAGTCACCGGTGACAAAAATTAGTCCGATGTTTGTAATTCAGTACAAAATTTAGGCGAGTGACCTCGCATCGAAAAATTGAAGATGTGCATACAATACAGTGTATAATGTAATAGTCGAAAAAAATATATATATGAGATGACACCCAAACTATAAAATGAAACACTTTCAATTGGGTCATAAGACAACTTGAGTTATCGCACGGGATGCTACCTGAGTTAAGTATATCTTTTGGCCGCACCTATTGGTGGTAGTCTAAATCAAAGCTGTAAGAATTTTTAAAATATCTTAAAACTAGAACAGTGTCTCACCAGGGGCGGAACTACGCCATTTAGGGGCCCATAGCCGACCATAAAAAAATATTATAGTTAAAAAAATGTTTTCTTGCATCTTTGACTTGACGGTTAGAGCTTTTGTAAGTAACAAACAGATCTATTACAGTAGTGATGTTATACATCCAATATTTGTATTCTGTGAATTTTTTTGCTGGGTGGCCCTTTTTTTCTAGTTCCGCCACTGGTCTCATCTTTTGATTTGTTCTAAATAAGCAGCCATCTCTCCCCTCTCCAGTGGTAAAAACCTCCCGGCGTTCTGTTTTCTTTCTTCTATTTTTATTGTGTGGTATCGACCTTTGAACTATACTTCTTTTACAAATCGAACCAAGTCCACACTGATTTTTTATGGTTGTAAAACAATCACACTGATGTATGCTGATACCTTTTTTACGTAATAATATTGTCAACAATTTACCTTAATATTAAAGGTATGTTAAGTAGTGCAGCTACAGTATGATTTTTATGCTTCAATGCATCGTGTAGGCGTGTTAGCTTGATGTTTATGATTGCGCACCGAATGCAACAACTCGTGTTATTTCATTTCCTGCGTTAGGTGAATGTCTGTGTGTTACTTGAAAGGATATATAGAGTGTGTAATTCAGGGGTTCTAAACTTTTTTTTATATAATGTACATGTGTAGTTACGTGAAATTTTTCGTAACCCATTTTTGTAATGTATTAATATGTGTTAAAATGAGTGAACAAACCTCAGAGCTAGATTGTGGTTTACTCAAGCAAAAATATAATTCGAAACTGTTGTTATAATGTTTATCCACCGCCAGAGTCGGATGTTTTTTTTTAGCCGCAAACATTTACTTATGACGTTTTTAGTAAGTTAAAAGTAGCACGTGTTACTTGATTAAATTATGTTATAGTATCAATTAGGGGGTGACACCAAGTCACAAAATGGCAAAGTATATACAGAAAAATGATAATTTTACTGAATTAAATTATTAATTACAGTGAACTAAATAGTCTTTAAACTTTAAACAACAAAGTGGACAAATCCAGACACGGGTGGAGGGGGGGGGGGGGTGACACCATGACGTAAACCTGCTAACATGCAACATGCTGCTGAATTCATAACCGGATATAGATACAAATCGTTAGTATTATCTGAGCACAGTTTAAAGCAATCACCGTGGGGTGACAAGTGGTGGGGGAGAGTTACATCAACTCAAAGTTGCAATATATGCGCCTGAGGAAAACGGTTTGGTTGAGAATCGTAATAAGCTATAAGTATGTTAATTCATGTAAGGGGTGGGGTGGTAAAAAAATTAAATACATCCAGCAAAAATAATTGAATACATAAATACATGCATATACACATACTTACAAGTGTATATGGAATATATATATAAATATATGTTTTTTTCTTACGGGGGGGGGGGGGGTTAACACCATTAGGTGCCTCACCAGGTGACACCCGACCTCGCTACGCCACTGCAATGAACAGCTAACCGAGTTCTGACTTAAACCCTGGATCCAGCCAGCTCATACGTCAAGTAAAGACGGTCAAATCCTGAGCTCTCTCTCTCTTTCTCTTTTTCTTTCTTTGTTTCTCTCTCTTTTTTTTTTCTTTCTTTCTTTCTCTCTCTCTCTCTCTCTCTCTCTCTCTCTCTCTCTCTCTCTTTCTCTCTCTCTCAGTCTAATGTTTACGATCATTTTCGGGTTGAATTAATCCAGGGAGATTACAACAGGGTAACGAACTGTGCATTTCTGTCATATAAGTTACCAACCACCACACACATGGCTTTCCGGGGTCTACGACAAATTCCAGAAAGACACTTGCCCAAATGCCGTTTGCCCGAAGGCCGATTTCCAGAATGGACACTTGCCCGAATGCGACCAAATGCCCGAATGGACACTTGCCCGAATGCGACAAATGCCCGAAAGGACACTTGCCCGAATGCGACAAAAGCCCTAAAGCCACTTGCCCGAAAGCCGTTTAATACAATTGTATTCAAACACGTTATAATATAATAATACTATACAACAGATCCAATAATTTGATTGGCACAGATTATCTCACACCCCGTCTTAAAGATCTATCTACATATATAGCCTTTGTGCCACATTATATATATATATATATATATATATATATATATATATATATATATATATATATATATATATATATTTTTTTTTTTTTTTTTAATTTATATATATATATATATATATATATATATATATATATATATATATATATATATATATATATATATCACATTTGCCGGCATTGTATTTCCCCTTAAGTTGTTGCCATTTCATCACTCACCACTTTAGTATTGTTCTGTTATGCAACACTCAGAAAACAGTTACTCTTGTGTTGTGGAAATAATTACAATATATACTTCATGCAAGCGTTTTTTACAATCATTTCTTGATTCTAAATGAATGCTGTTTATTCCGTCACCGCGTCAAATAGCTCGGTGTATACCATCTGTTTACATTGGTTTAACGTTGCAGCTATCATTTTACAAAAACGGAAACTTTGAATAAATATATCTATAACCCCACCAGTTAACCCGCGACGTAGCATACGCCGCTATCTAGTTGTTTTATTTTCTACTTATCAACAATTCATAATTTGTGAATTCGACACTACCCCACCCCCCATAAGCTGCGTGGTGTTTTCTATCTATATAGATAGATTTCTTAAACACACACTCTCCACTCTCTATACACTTCATTTCATTTGGATATCGTACACATTTTCGTGTTTCCACTTGACGAGCTAGGTACGCAATTTGCAGCTGTTCTTTAATTTTACGTGTATTCGCTAACCCCGTTAACATGTGTTGGTTGAGATATTGAGAAGAAAGTTATTTTGTAATGGCGATGGTCCGTGAACTCGGATTACTGGGCTAGTTCCCTAAAAGTCTAAATTAAAACACATTACTAACTTTAGTTAAAACGTTGTGTGATAACATGTTGAGAGCTTGATACCTTTCCTATCCGTGTCGAGTTTGATCTCCAATTTGTTAAATTATGTTATCTCACCCCCACCCCACCACCATTACCACCACCACAACCACCCACTTGCTAGTCCAGGTAGGAAATCCCGCTAAAGATATCCTTAACTAATCAGATTGCTAACCTTGTTCCTTAATATAAACAACTTTTGCATTACTGCAGCTACCATTCATTTTTAATGCCACGATTGGCAATGAAGCGTAACAGCGCAAGTTGCGTAATTGTGTATTCAGAAACTCGTGTGAATTCATTTCCTGCAAGTAGAATGTAGGACGTGAAAGAAGCTATAGAATTGTAACAGATGGTAACCCGAGTTGTATTTTATGTTTTGGGTGACCTTTATGTGACAGTAGAAAGTCTAGTCAAAAGAAGCGAATGCGGAGTGACGAACCAGATGTTTTACATATTGAGTAGAAGTGCGAAACTGAATTGCTTATAAGGTGTGAAATTGGCGTGAAAGTTACCATCTCTGACGTATTGGAGAAAATTTTTTAAACAAACCAGAATTATCTATAGTGTGATTGCGTTTATTTATAAAACAGACAGGACTATGAATACTTATCTACGTGTGTTTTGAACATGCTGACACTCCTCATTTAAGTGCAATCAACCACGTCGCTCAACATATAATCACAAAACTACAAACGAGTTCCTAAGCGAGTTAAATAAAACAAAGCCTCGATACCAGTAGTAATCCATAACAATAGTTTCACTAATCTGTCACACACTTTCAAAACGAAACGAAATATATACAGTTCGAAATCCGGAAAAGTACACACAATAAAATGACGTCAAAGACTCTAGAGTAAACATATAATTAAAAAGTCAATGCAAAAATAATTCCACAATAATAATGATCTCATTGATACTTGATAATAAAGACACTGACATTACGGCCTAATTCGTCTAATCTTTAAAGTGGTTTGTTGAGTTTACTTCAGGCATCTCTTCGGGGAGGGTCGAACCCCCACCCCCACTCCACGTTATAATGTCTAACCCCCCCCCCCCACCCACCCACCCACCCCAGAACGAAATTGAATTTATTTAGAAAATGTATACATTTACCAGTTGCGCCCGCCCACCTGCCCAGATGAATTTTATTCGCCCTCTGCAAAAATTTCAAACGGGATACAGCCCGTTCCATTTCTCCCTCAACGGGTCATTTATATAGTATACTATACACAAACTGAACGAGAATCACAATCAATTCTGGATAGTCAATAGCGACAGACATAAAAACATACAAACAACAGAATACAGTGGTACCATTCTGAACGGAATATATGTACGCTAACGCTGTAGAAAGTAAGTTTTCAAAATGTGGCACAGATTCACGTTTGAATGCAAATTAAAAAGTTGCGAGTTCTGATGCAGGGCCCTGAATCCGTACGACGCCCTTGAGTCCACCTAATTCTGAAGGATACCTGACATGACATGGTATAGACGACTGAGCTAAGTGATTTATATACAATACGAAATATAGAAGTATAGAGGAAGTATTAAAATCGTGCAAAAAACTCGATATTTTACACCTCCCTGAGATAGAAAAACTTAGTTTTGTAATCTCGTCCGTATGTCTGTTTGTGTGTGTCTGTGTGTATGTGTGTTTGTGAAAACGATAACTTGAATCCCGTTATAGCTAGGTCACTGAAATTTCACTTATAAGAATGATATCGAATTTGTGGTTCTGAATAAACTTTTCAGCGATTTCCGGTAACCGGAAATGGAACTTATTCTACTTTTGGTTTTTTTTCAGAAGCCTATAACTTGAGTATTGTTTCAGATAGATAAACGAAAGTTCACATATATGTAAATAATCTAATTTTCTGCCTTCAGTCAAATTTTGAGTAATTTCTGTTGACGGGTAGTAGTACTATCAGCTATCACTAATTTCTCAAAACGCAGAGGAATTTATAAAATACTAATATTCAGAACTATTATGTAAACATTGTTTGCTGTTACTTAGTGTGCAATTTTTTTTCTACGAGATTCTATTCTATTTTTAAAAGTTTAAGTACTTAAAATTGATTAAAATATTGTCTAAATCTTCCGTTGCATTCTCCGCATTATCATTTAAGAATATTCGGGAAAGTTTTGGGGAGATTTATGTTGAATTTTCAGTATATGATAATATTTATAAATATTGATGTCATTGTTTTAAGCATGCCCCAGAGGAAACCCATCCATTCATCGTATGGTCAAGATTTGTACATCAAGGATAGCATTGGGGTTTCAATTTCGCTAATTTTTAGCAGAAGAATAATAATTAATAACTTGGATACATTGGCGACATAAATACAATTATTTTTTCTTTATTTTAATTTACTATCTTTTAAATTTGACATCAACATTTCCCAAAACTCTTCCGTGTCCTCATACAACAAACAACGGTGATTCTGGTTTCTGAAATAGGTCACGATCTCTACGGGCCAGATGTTGACCTGAAATTGACCCACAAAAACAGGCACGATGATCCTATCAGAACAATTCATTTCGTGCATGATGGCCAGGTTCATCTCGAGTTCCCGGTTCCTGTCTTCAAAGATATCTCGCGAGAGTAGGATGAGAGTCTTTCTTGTACCGGCAATGGCGCCAGCTATGTTGTTTTGTTGTGGGCCAGCTGGGAAGTCGTCCTCGCCGTTTATAAATGTGACGTGGTTCTCATTTAGCCGAGGAAAGAAGTTCTTTCTCGCAAGTCGAATGTACTCTGGTTCCTGAAAGATTTTCATGGTATTTTTTTTAAATGTTAAAATTATTTAATAATTAAAATATGTTTAAATGAAATTCATGAATAATTTGAGTATAAGTGAAAACATGTAGAAGCATTTTAAAAAACGTACTTTCGACATCTCTATACAACTATCCTATCATAGAAAAGCCCATGTTCGCACTTCTCTCTCGCTCTCTCTATCTATCTATCTATCCATATATATATATCGTTCGTTCTCTTTCTCTTTCCACCGGCTATGAGAACAGTATATTGGAGAACTTAATGATACGGACTTTTTAACGAAATAATATGTTGGTTGTATTAAATGTATAAACTAAATATAATTTGAAAATGAAAATAAAAACAAATGCATTTTCGAATATTAAAACACATTTTTAATTATGCAACCGAAAAAGTGTTTATTGTTGTGGCAAGGAAGCTAAAAACAGACGTCACATGTCACATATTTAAGCTAGAGAAAGCACACAACATTAAAGGCGTCATCTTCCAGTTTTAGAGTGTAATGAATATTTCATTCACATTTGATTTAGATCTAGATCCATATCTACTTACCAACACGTACTTTATGGAATTTATATAATTTTCTCGGATATAAAAATTACTTTAAAAAACAACATAAATACCATTAAACAGACGGGTTTATAATTAAATCATTTACGTCTCTCAATCGGTGTGTGCATATAAAATTGGTATTAATATTTCTAATAGGTATTAGCAGCCAATGTTATTTGAAAAGTGCAAGGATTTTTAGCTTTTTAGTAATTTCTTTGTTTTGTTACCAATATCATTCAACTTGTAGTTGACCAAATGCGTTTTTACCAATAATTATTTAATAAATTATTTTTCTCAAACAATAACCACAGCTCTCAAACATATGAACCGATAAGCATTTAATTTTTTTATATCGAGTTTCATAACATGAAGTTTAAGGGATAGCTTGCAGTTATCGAAAAGAGTGAAGTATAGTGCAAATATATATAAATATGAATTTTGTTATCTGTTTTATTAAGGTAAATATTTTATTGACTAGGATTTAAAATGAAAATGTAATTCTAACTTTCACTAAATAATTCGATTCCCAGAAAGTATTCAACCATATTTTTATTGGATCCGTTTACCACGTGATTACTTAATCAATCCTAAAGCTATTCCTGTGAGTAATTAACAAAACCAATATTGAAATATTTATTTACTTAGAAATGAAACTGGTTAAAGTAAATATTTTCTATATGAACTACCCTCGAATGGAAAGAGACATTTAATAAAAAGAAATCTCTATAACAGAAAAAAAACATTTTATAAAGATCGCTACATATACGATAAAGTTAACTCACTTGTTCATATACTATAAAAACATCTGCAACTGGTTTATACGTCAGAAGAACATCGCCAATGTGAAGTTTCTTTGAACCAATGTAATAGAGGTAAGCAAGTTTCCATCTGTTATAGTAAAACATAGCCCATAACAAGACAGTGGCGAGAACGACAAAAAACGTAACGAGAGTTCCAATGAAAATTTACTGTGAGACACAGCTCTTCATTAACTGCGGGTAGAATGTGGCCAGTTGGTCATGTGATAAGTTGGAGCCGTCAATTGTGGTACAGGTGATGGAATCTACGCTATCAAATATATCTGACTGGGTGATCAGAAGATGGACGAACGACAGGTATTCGCAAGTACACATCAGGGGATTGGATTGGATTCTGATCTTAAATTTTGAGTTCCTGGATTTCAATTGTTTTAAATCTTCACAATTTTTCTCAGAAAATCCACTCAAAAGATTTTTGTTTAAGTCAAGCTCTTCCAATTTCAGAACTCCATTTAAATCGACTTCAAAATGTGTAAGTGAATTTCTTGAGAGATTTAAATATTTTAAATTAATGCTATTCTGAAAGATATTTCTAGATAAGGTTGTTATAGTGTTGCCGCTGATGTTCAGTGTCTCCAATCTGGTCAGTGTTGAGAAAGCTATTCCTGAAATGTCATTGGCCAAAGTCGGACCAAGAACGTTGTCATGTAAAAGAAGTGTCGTCAAATTTGTAAGGTATTTGAAAAATGTTAAACTCATTTTGGTACAATAATTTTTTGATAAATCAAGATGTTGAAGAGTTGGTGGTGCTTTTATGGGCCCTTGCCAGCACCGAGCCATGTTGTTTGAGTAGTCCAAATATCTCAGTACTTTATTATTTTTTACAGTAATAGCAGGGATAGAATATTCTACCTTAAGAGTGCTGACGGAAAAAATTTCAAGGCTAAACGGCAGTGGAAAATAAAAAGTTTCAGATGATTGATCTATTGTTCTGGTATTTGAACCAGCAGTTTCATTTCTATTTCTTAAAATATTGCTGTTATGGTTAGAATCCATATGTTTTGAATTTATTTCACAATCGAAGTCATATATTACATTTGTATTATCTGGCGTTTCTGTGTATTGGAGTTGTAGTGACGCGTCAATAGTTTTTACGCGTCCCAAAGTTAAAATAGCAATAAAGATTTCAAACCTGGCTATTTTATTATTTCTTAGTGACAGATACTCCAGTGTAGGGGGCAGGTCTACAAAGGCAAAAGCATCTACTGTGTAAATTCTGTTGCTCGATATGTCAAGGGATTCCAGTGGTGTATATTTTAAATAACGAAACAATTGTCTTGAAACTGAAGAGAAATAAGGTCCTTCAATGTTTATTTTTGATAAATTTAGCACTTTTATATTAGAATCGTTCAACGATATTGAACCATTTTCAAACCCTGTCAGTAAAAGCATTCGTGTGTTATAGAGATTTAAAAAGATCAGATTTGAAATATTCCTGAAAATAATTGGTGGTAAATATTTTAACTGACAGCCGTTGAGATCTATCGAGAATGGTTTTAGTGACATGATGTTCTCAAAGAAATTGTTAGGTATTGAATAATTGAAGACACAGAACGTTCCTGGTGGGTAGTTATTCATGTGTATTGTCTCTAAATTATGCAAACTTTTGAAGCCAGGCCCAAGCTGGATGGGGTATCCGTCAAGGAAAATTTCCCGAAGATTCGTCAGCTTGGAGAGAGCTTCGTCTGGGTAGGTAGAAAAATCAAACGTTGGGTTGTTGCCTTCTAAATGTATTATCTCTAACTGGTTAAGTCCGATAAATGCTTCCAGCTCAAATGTATTGTTGTAGTATTTCAAATTGTTGCTTTGGAGGGACAGGAATGTCAAGGAATTCAGACCAAAAAATGAATTGTTTAAAATCTGAATAAGATTGTTACGTGATAAATCTAAAACTTTCAGCTGTGAAAGATTTGAAAATATAAACGGCTCAATGAATGTCAAAGTAGTATATGTTATGTGCAGCATTTCTAATTTTGCTTGATTTGAAAATATGCAAGCATTCTCCAGTGTTTTAATCTTATTATACGACAAACTTAAACTTTTCAAATTCGAGAGCTCTTTGAAATCATAGCATGTAATGTTTGAGATGAGGTTGTTTTGTAAATCCAATGCGGTCACTTGCGGTGGAATGTCTGGAATATTCTGTAACCCTCTGTTGGAACATGTTACACTAAATTCATGTTTGTTGATATCCTCTGCGCAATTGCAAGGAAAAGGACACAATGACATCATTGGTTTTTTGTCTTGTCTGATATTCTTATGGATATTTTCTCTAGTTTCTTTTTCTGACGATTGAATTGGTGAAATAATTATAAACAAGAGAACCATAGAGCAGATAATACTGTTTAAGGGAGCCAACATCTTTACTTGTAGATTTAACCTATATCAAATAAAAATATACCATCAGGATTAAAATGAATGAGTTGTATTTTTCTATTTATAAGAAAAAGACTATTATGTAATCAACATAAATTAGTTAAATTTTAAATAAACAATGCGTTCAATACTATTTTAAGTCGCTATATAAACTTTTTGATTATATAATAACCTTACACTTCATAACAAATGTGTAAATCAGAAAAGTAGGCTACATGTATAATATCTACGCCTATTTTCTTTTATGCCTATTTACTTTAAACAAATTTTTAAATCAGAAAAGTGGGCCAAATTTAAAATATTTATGCATATTTACTTTTATGATAAAATTTTGAACAAGATTTAATTTGAACAATGTGATATTTAAATAACTTTACACTGAATTATTAATAAAATACAAATAAAATTAAAATAATTCCTTTAGAAACATTAAATTAGCGATAAGTTAATATTTTCCTCATTAAATTAAGCTCTTGTGTCAATATCACACATTTATATAATTATTTTTAATATTCGTTATCCAAAAAAAATAGACTTTACATTTACTTACGTAAATCTGTGTGTAAAAATCATGTTCTGTATTTTAGATAAACGAAAGTTCTATGTAAGGCGTTTGTTTATATATGGCTACTGTCATAGGTATAATATAGTTTCGCCAATTTAACGTTTATGGCAAGAGATATTAACATTCTTATATTGATTTTAATAAAATCAGAATATAAAAGACAGATATAAAGCCTGGTTGGAATTCCTTTCCGTATTTAGGAACACTTTCTTTTATATCTTTCATTGATTTTTTCTAATGTTAGTCACCCGTGACAAAAATTAATCTGTTTTTAATGTTTATCGGTTCGTGGTAGTAGCGTCAGAAAGCGGTGGCCGAATGCACATTCAGAAACGTGAGACGTCTTTAAGTTGGGCGACATTACATTGAAATATTTAAAATGTACATAAAATACAGTGAATAAAGTAATAGCAGAAAATTTAAAAATTATATAGCAGGCGACACCCAATCTATAAATTGCAACACTTTCAATTGAGTTGCCGTACTGGTTGATACCTGATATGATGTCTTCTATTAGTGGCTCCTATTTGTTGTTGTTGTCTAAATCAAAGTTGTAAGAGTTTTAAAAAATATCTTTAAACTAGAATTGTGTCTAATATTTTAAATTGTTCTAAAAAAACCAGCCATCTATCCCCTCTCCAGGGGTACAAATGCCCCTGCTTTCTGTTTTCTTTATTTTATTTTTATTTTGTGATATTGACCTTGAACTAGACTTGTTTTACAAGTCGAACCATGTTCACGTTGTTTTTTACGAGTGTACAAAAATCACAAAGATTTATGTCATGGCTCAATGCGTTGTCGGAACGGCCTTTATAATTTTGCGCAGTATGCAAAAACTCTTTGTTATTCCATTTCCTGCGTTAGGTTATTTGGAGCGTGTACTTCGGGGGTTCTAAATTTTTGGTATAATGTACATCTGCTGTTAATTAAAATTATTCTAATTCATGTGTGTAATGTAATAATATGTGTTAAAATAAGTGAACACAATCAGAGCTATTACTTAAGTAAACTAAGCTATAGTATCAATTAGCACATTGAGATAAATTAGCAACGCGTGAATGGATAGTATCCGTGGGACAGCCACCGAAGTTCGGACTTGAATCCCAAATATAAAATGTACCTCTGAGAAACATACAGTGAAAATAACTATGGACTTTCTGAGGCAGAGGTCTTAACCATTTGGCACCACTAGGCACTGGGCTATCATCAAAGTACAATGTCTATATAGTTATAATTGTACATTGTGAGCTTTCGTTAACGAAGTAAGAACATAACCACAGATACGATGTGCATTACAAAAAGCTAAAATTCGCAATTATTTATAAGACTCCGCACGGTAAAATGAGTACTTAGCTTTGTTAGGTTTTACCCGCGCAATCAGTTTGAATATCAAGATTGTGTTAGATCAAGGATAGTAGTTTTATTTAGCTGAATGTTATCACAATTTTAAGTAAAGAGTAACTTGGATTAATTGGCAACATGTATATATTAGGTAGTTTAAAAAGAACTAATCACATTTTCTACGTATTATAATATATCAATTGACTCAACATTTCCAATTACACTAGCAATAAATATTGCTTTTCATTTCAAACTCCACTTACAATAAATATTTTTCTTCATTTCGTTTTATTATCTTTTAAATTTAACATCAACATTTTCCAAAACTCCTCCGTGTCCTCATACAACAAACAACGGTGATTCTGGTTTCTGATGTAGGTCACAATTTCCACGGGCCAGGTGTTGCCCTGAAAGTGACCCACAAAAACAGGCACGATGATCCTATCAAAACAATTCATTTCGTGCATGATGGCCAGGTTCATCTCGAGTTCCCGGTTCCTGTCTTCAAAGATATCTCGCGAGAGTAGGATGAGAGTCTTTCTTGTACCGGCAATGGCGCCAGCGATGTTGTTTTGTTGTGGGCCAGCTGGGAAGTCGTCCTCGCCGTTTATAAATGTGACGTGGTTCTCATTTAGCCGAGGAAAGAAGTTCTTTCTCGCAAGTCGAATGTACTCTGGTTCCTATAAAAATAGTCATGGTATTTTTTTTAAATCTTCAATAACATAAACATTAAGGATTTATTAGAAATTATAATAAAGGACTTTGTTGGTTACACGGGCCGTAACAATATGTTTGTTTTTTATCCACACACTCAATGTTATTAATTTCTATTTAAACTATACACCGGTCTTAGAAAATTGTTTGCTTTTTCAATTCCACTTAAGAATAGAATTTATAATACATATTTACACAAATATATTTTTATTACTGGTACATTTGAACGGATCATAGAACTCTAAGAAGTAAGTTAAACCAATAACTTAAGGTTTTATTTTAAGACAATGTATAGGCCTACTAACAGAATGTATATACTTCAAAAAAAGTTAAAATTATTTAATAATTAAAATGTTTTTAAACTGAAATTGATCAAAATTTGTGTCTACGTGAAATCATATGTAGAAGCATTTTAAATAAACTTACTTTCGACATCTCTAATCAACTATCCCAATATATAAAAGCTCATATGCGCATTTCTCTTTCTTTCTCTCTCTGTCCGCAGTATATAAGCTCAGTGTATTCAGTGATATATAGAAAACTTAATGATTTGGACTTTTGTTGAAAATAATATTTTGGATGTATTAATTGTATAAACTAAATATTATTTAAAGTAAGAAAATAAAAATAAAGGCACATTCAAATGTAGAAACACATTTTTAATTATGAACAATTGTGTAATTTTAAGCAAGTGACGGTCTTTGGCAAGAGATATCAACGTTTTTAAATTGATTTTGATGTACTCAGAATATAAAAGACTTTTAATATTTGTTAAACATACATAATGCATGAACGGGCTAAAGACTGATTGGAATACCTTAATGTATTTTTTTATCACTTTCCTTTTTGTTCTTTATTGATTTTTCGACGATCGTTCGATAATGTTACCGTACGCTAAAATAGAGCACACACAAAAATGTAATGGTGTCTATAAATGCTAGTCGTCGGTTCATTGGTTCGATAAACAAATACTTTCGAATTGTAATAATGAAGCTGCAGTTGTGCTTGCTGTTCTAACGTTAAATGGATAGTTTTTGTTTGCATATTATCCAATCGTAAAAGAGGCCTTGTTCATTTTATTACTATTCTGCATTACTTAGCTTTTGTATTTTAAGCTAAACTGGTTAATCAATATATATATATATATATATATATATATATATATATATATATATATATATATATATATATATATATATATATATATATATATATATATATATATATATATATAAAATTCTCTTCTGGGAGACGCTAGAAAACAAGCTGCAAGCGCATCCTTTCAGTCCCCTCTCTTTCTCCCTATCTCTATCACTGCCACCCCCACCCCCACATGGTCTGGTGAGCTGTGACACGCCAATCGTAGAGCCGGGTTTAGTGACGGCTATTAGGGGCAAATAATTTAGTTTGAAACGATTTTAAACTTACAGGAGGTAACTAAGAGGAGGCTGCTTTCACGGGGGGGGGGGTGTAGGGTCGGGGTTAGGGGAAAGGGGGGGGGGGGGGTTAGTGTTTTAAAGCAAATATTTTCAGTGGCAGCATTGGTACTGTCGAATTCACAAATTATGAATTACTGAAAAGTAGAAAATAAAACAACTAAATAGCGGCGTATGATACGCCGCGGGTCGGCTCGTATATATATATATAATTCTCTACGTGAACACCACCATGACGCAAGCCGACTGTCTAACCCTCCTCCCGCCCCCTCCCACGATCTCCAGACACGCGCAACAGACCATATCGCTATCTCCCTCACCATTCTGGTGATCTGTGGTTTACGCCGAATAGAGCCGGGTCGAATTAGTGACGGCTATTAGGGGCAGATATTTAGTTTTTAAACTATTTGAAACTAAGGGGAGGTAACAAGTTCTGTTTCATCTTTTCATTGTTGTCTGTAAACTGTCGTCACGGACGGCTGCTTTCACGGAGGGGGGGGGGGGGGTAGTGTCGAATTCACAAATTATGAATTTCTGAAAAGTAGAAAAAAAAATTTTTAAATTGCTCGTATGCAACGCCGCGGGTCGGTCGTTATGAAATATTTGTATACCTGCATATTTTTAATTATCGGCCAGAAAATCTTATGAATGTTTTACGTTTTAAAAGTAGTTAAAATATAACAAAGGACTTATTATATTTATTTTTTATTTTAAAAAAAACATTTTTCTCTCTAAATTTTAATGCTCTTTAAAAAATTATTCTAAATTTCGATTTTCGAGTAAACGAAGGGTTGTTTTAAAATGCTCTAAATTAAAATGTAACGTGAATAGTTTTTATGCCATATAGTAGTAAATGTTAAATGTAAAAAGAAATGAGCTTCTGCTTTTATTAAAGGAAGTGGGTCAAACGGGGTCGTATTGTTGCGGCATTGGTTTATATATCAATGGGATATCCCCAATGTGAAGTTTCTTTGATCCAATATAATGAAAATAAGCAAACTTCCATCTGTTGTAGTTAAATATGGCCGACAACAAGACAGTGGATTTCGCTGATGGATGTATATCTATATTAGATTTGCAGTTTAGAGTAGTTACACATATATCAAGTCAAGACCTCACATAGAATTCCCAAGACGAAAAAAAGACAGACCAAGAAAATAGAAATACTTGAAGGCTATAACCTGATTGAGGACCCAGTGCAAGAAAGATGGAGACAGTTATTTTAGCTCACAATTACGATGGCCGGAATACTTGTGTTAAAGGCTTATATCATCGCTTGAGTCGTCTATAATTGTCACTTGACATCGCATTCGTAGGGGAGGGGTGGGGGAGTAGTTTGGAATTTGTTAAGAGTCCAAAAAGTGCTTCGTCATACTTTATGAATTTTAATAATTAGTTTGTCACCAGAGTTTCTTCCAGGCATCTCTTCGGGGGGGCCAAGCCCCCCCCCCCCCCCCGAAAAATTTTTACCGCCCCCCCCCCCCCCCCCCCGAACGAAATGAAATTTATATAATTTATATAGAAAATATATACTTTTAACAGTGTCCGCCCCCCGAAGAAAGTTTACCGCCCCCCCCCCGAAGATTTCAAGTGCCCCCCCCCCCCGGAGAAAAATGTCTGGAAGAAACACTGTTTGTCACTGACGTTTAGTAGTTATTTTGCATCACAAAAGAGGTTTTTGTGCTGTTTTATTTTATTTAACATTTTTCAATATACCTAGTTTAATTTTAGAAATTAATCGCTCTTTGCGAGAATGTTTGCAATTTAGGGAGAGAGGTAGGTTGAAGAGACATGTCATTTCATGGGGGTGTGTGGCTTTTTCCGACAATGGGAAGGAGAATAAAAATAGTCACAAAAAAAAACAAGACGATTTATGAAGTCAAAAATATTGTGTTCCCTTCGGAAAAACCCCGAAAAGCGGTTAAAACTGACCATGGGGACAACTAACTAAAATATTCAGGTTTTTATTGATTTCATAACAAGGAACACAATATTGCAGTTAAGAATTTATTTACAGTGTAACTAGATCTAAATTTAATCTGCTAGAAGATCGGCCAGGTCACCGCGTCTCATCTTCTGATAAAAAATGTCAGCTAGATATTTCTTTGTGTATAAATCAGGACATTTTTCTTTGAATTTTCTTAAAATTTGATAATTGAATTCTGAAAGTTCTCCTGAATCTTCTTTCAACTGTTCCAAGAAAGCGTCATCAAATCCAAGGTATCTGCCCAAATCCATAGAAGAGCTCTTTCTGCCTATTTGATCTTTTATGTTCATTAGCTGATCCTGAGTTGGGGGATCCTGCGACACTGAAAAACCATAATAAGTCCTTTTAAAAATGTTTTGCTACAACTAACATTAACAGTGAGTACAATACCACGTTGTGATTTATTCTTCCCTGTCAAGGTACTTAAAAGATTACCATACTTACAATAGGGTGCTTACGATTTAATTTTAATTTTGGATGTCGGTAATAAACAGAACTAACCTAAAATAATTAAATACTCTAGTAAAATATTAAACCTGTAGATAATAGACACATTTTTAAAACTCACTGTACTTTTATTAACAACCATTGTAAAAATTTAACTCAGCTGAACTTAAGCTGAAGTATAAGACAGAAGCGTAGAAAGTGGGGGGGGGGGGGGGTACATATATCCCTGAATGCCAACCCTAGAGGGCACCAAAATGGGTTGAAAAAAAAATTAAAAGCTTATTTTAGCTGCATTTTTGCATCATAAATTAAAAAAATATATGGGGGGGGGGGGCGCTAAATTGAAAGTTTGTCCCGGGCGCAGATAGGGTCGCTACTGCTCTGGTATAACACATCTGGCAACTTCAAAATCTGAAGTTATGTTATAGATTTAGTTATTTTTACCTGACAGTGGACGTTTGGGTTCTTTTGTTCTACTTGTTTTATTCCAGTCATCAGCGTAATTGTTGACTACCATTGTTGCTCCTGGTCCATTTACAACGTTTGTTGCATGGTTTATAATTGTCCATGATAAACTACCTGGAAAAAGAAAAACACATACCCATCTAATTTTTTTACATAGATTCTAGAGTGCAGGCTCTAAATAAACAGTTTAACAACCAATGGCTAAACTAGAAAAAAAGGGCCACCCCTCAAAACAAAATTGTGGGCCCCTATATATAAATATAAATATATATATATATATATATATATATATATTGAAAATCTGTGTGTCTCATTTTATGTCTGCTCTAATGTTTCCCATCTGCAAGCTGGTTGAAAGTATTTGAAACATGAAATCTTGCTAAGTGTTATGGTTTTTTGTGTTGTTTATTTCTGTTGTTTTTTTTTTTTTTTATTTAAATAAATTCCTTTTTATGCTATGTCATTCTTTAGTATGTATATTATTTTTTAAAAATAGTTATAAGAAGTAATTGCTTTTTGATTTGCTTAGTTCTAAACTATTAAAAGGAGCTTATGGGCACCTCTATTTGACTGTTTAAAAAAGGGAAATGAGTTATGGAAGTGGTTTGAGCATTTGCCTATATTTCATACTACAGCTCATGTGCATGTAGATTTTTTTTTCTTTTATGCAACAGCAATATTGCTTTTTTGGTCCGATTTTTATCCCCTGAACTGCCTTACACCCCCCCTCCCCCTTTGTAATAAACTTGTTTTTAAAAGAAACACACATATTGCTCCTAATACATTATGCTACCATGTGGATAATAATTAAGTTTAAAAGTTATACAATAAAGCTTTTTTTTAATTTTATCAGAATAATTCTGTAATTAACGTGTTTATAAGCTTGACATATTTAAACATATTTATATATATTGACATGGATTTAAATGGATTTGACCTAAACAAAATGTATATGTCCAAAATTTTAACATCATCATTTTGTATATGAGGGGCATAATACCAGAAACCAAATATAACATTTATGGCTGATTATTCAAGTTTTCTGCACATAGAGTTCACCCTATATGTTCATAATAGCTTTTTTATGTGTGTTAAGAGCTGATAACTTACTGTCATTATGTTGTGAATATTTCTTAAAAACCATATCAGTCAGTAACTTTTTAGCTGTGGGCCTTTTAGCAGGATTTTTGTCTGTCATCTGTTGCACAATCGTTGCCATCTGGAGAAAAATAAGTTGCAGCTGACTGCTTTATTTTATAAAGGCTAAAACATATAAATTTAATCAGATAATTAAGTTAATTACTTCTAGTATTTGTTTGGCATTGCAATACTGGCAGACTCAAAACAAATAGGCCTGCTACTGTACTATTCTACAAACAATTTTTTTTACTAAAACCAAGTAACTTCTGCAACTGTTCCTGTTATTGCAACAAATTAAAAAAAAAAAGACTTACCCTTGGTTCAGGAAAGCCAACAAGGTTAACTGCACCTCCATCTCTGACAGAATTAAAGACCCTTTCTTTCAAATTTTCCTCATCAGGGTAAGGAAACGACCTACAGAGCTCTAAAAAGACTAGGCCAGTAGAAAATATATCCACTTTGGTGTCATACTGGCCTTTATTAAGCTGGGGAAAAAAACTCCATCAATCATTACCATGTAGGGCCTATAAAAAGAATAGATAGAATACATATTGGAAATTATTACCAAATAATATTTTCATAGACAAGTATTTTTTTTCAGAAGGGTGATTAATAACCAATTTTAAATTGTTTTAAATTATTAAAATGGCCTTTATTTATTGTAGGTCAGACAAAACTGCTGAATCTCTTTCCAACTACAACAAAGATGACATTTCAAGACACAAACGAGTAGTCTTGAGACTCAGAACAGGCCGCAATAGAATGAGGACATACATGTTCCAGAAAATGAAATCTGATTTCAGAAATATGTGCATTTGTGGTAGAAATCTCTATATTGCCCAACATGTAAACTACTACAAGATTGTATTTCACATTATCAGATTCAGTCTAGACTCTGGCCCCAGAAAACCCCAGTCACAGAAAAGTTGCATGGGGAGAGGGGGCATGCTGAGAGAGACAAGTGTGGAGTTTGTCTTTAATGTCTATAACATGTTTCATAACCTCCAACCTTACATTTAATAGAAAAGAAGAAGAAAATCATCAACATTTCAATTCTCTGTTTTACTTTTAAAAAGTGTACCATTTTAATCTATCCAAATAATAGTTCTCACTAAAAAAAATGCATGGACAAATTTGCAAAAAGAATTGCAAACAGTAAAATTTAGCATTCGCATAATTCCACACACCATAAATTTTAAATGCTGCACACACAAAAATGGACAAACCAAAATTTTCACACACCGGAATTTTTTTATTACCATACTTCTAAAAGATAACAGATTCTTTTCAAGGGCATTAATAGATTATTTAAAGGGCTTCCTTTCTTCAGTTGATTGATTTACTCACTCTATAATATGATAGAGTGGATACATTTGAAATTACAAATGACTTCTTAGATATTAGTTTTATAATTTCTACATTATTTTAGTAGTACAACTTAGTTTAAAAATAAACCTTATACTTAGACATGGAGTACATACTATCCTATTCAATTGTTTAATTTTGTTTAGTGCATTCTTATTTCTTTGGCACTTTAATTAGTCACCCCAAAAAAACACTAAATCTGATACAAAATGATTTAGGAAAATAGCTGAAGCAATTTGTTGTTTTTTTTTAAGTTTTTTCTTTAAGTCCAATTGGTCTGTTATTTTACTATATAAAAAATTCTTAATCGATATAGTGCTATAAAATACACAATCTACAAAAGAATTAATGTTGTTACAAAAAAAGGCACTTTGATCTCCTAGATTAAAATATATCAGTACTAAGAATCAAATGTTTATAAAATATAAACATATAGGCTAATACTAAAATTTATATCAGTACTGGCACTAAAGAGTTTAAATTTCCCCCACCCCCTTTCCCCTGGAGAAAAATGTCTCAAAGAAACCCTTCAGGAAAAGATATCAGTTACTTGTTCTGTGGAGTCTACAGTCTTAAGGAACAAAGATCAGCATACCTGTTCTGGGCTCATGTAAAGCTTAGTGCCCTGCAGAGCTGTATGCTGATTGGCTGCTTGATTTGAATGGCTCTCATGTTCAAACGAATCATCATGGCATGTAGCCAATCCAAAATCTCCAATTTTTAGCTTGCCATTGGCAATCAAGATGTTGCCAGGCTGAATAAAGTGTTTAATTAGCTTTTTAATAAATTTGGTTACTAAATGAAGTGACAGAAAGTTGTAAATAAAATACTATTCTTATAGTTATAAGCCTTTTGTAATATTGTAAAATATTTTAAAGCATGTCATCGTGTTGTCTAGTATTCTTTTAACTTACTTTGACATCTCTGTGAATTATTCCCTGGCCATGGATGTAACTGAGAGCTTCCAAAATCTCTTTACAGAAAGGTAAGACTTTAACTGGAGGGCGTGGTCCAGCATTGTCCGCAAGCCAGGTACTTAATGTTCCTGCTTGGCATAATTCCATTTGTATAAACAAAAATGGCTGCTGGTTTACTACTTCATCCCAAACTGTATGATAGCGTACTATTCCAATGTGTTGCAGTTTTGCCAGACTTTGCACTTCTCTTAAATATTTTCCCTCAGACGGTGCCTTTTCACTGTAAATAAAAACAATTAAAATTAGCTAAGGAGGCATGTGATGTTTATCTTTCTAAGATAAATTTTCTCTTTCTGCTTTGATGAGCTCCAGCTCTTAAATTTATATAGCAAGCTTTAGTGTTTGAAGCAACTTCAATCAGTTTTTTTTTTCATAAAATCTGTGCCCCCTCACCTCAGGATGAAAAAATGTAAAATTTATTCAGCCAGTCTCCTTGTCCTACCCCCCCCCCCCCCCCCACACACACACACACTCACACACCCAGCTGAAGAAAAAAAATGTTGGAAGGAAAAAACTTGCTTCAATTAAGAGCATTATTTGTATTAAAAGAGCTTTAAATACTCAAGGTGCAGTAAGAATTTACCTTTTCGGGAGCTTAATTTTTTTAATGGCATAGAACTGTTTATCTTGTTTATGCCTGGCTCGTACCACTTCTCCACAACTGCCTGAGCCGATTGTGTCGCAATATTCAAATTTCTTTTCAAACCTAAGGTAAACATAATAGCAAAGAAATACAGTTTATTTTTAAGGTGAACATAATAAGTATTAATGAGCCTTAGGTGTTATCATTGATAGATAATAAAACTAAAACTGTATGAAACAGTTAATTTATGAGAAAATATAAGATTTTATACAATATTCAATAAAACCTACAATTTTATTAAATACGAGAAAAATGGCCCGTTGAGGAAGGATACACCGGGCGCTAGGTTGATAGTGCTGTCTCTTTTCTCTAAACTAAAACCAACCCACCCCCCCACAAACACCACCCCCACCCCCACCCCTCCCACCCCCACCCACCCCACACACCACCCCCCAACCCCACCCCCACCCACCCCCCCCCCCCCACCCCCAAAAAAACATGTCTACCGTCCCATTCAACGAAATATAATTATATACTTTTTCCAGTGTCCGTCCCCTCCCCGAAAATTCTACCCCCCGCCCCCGAAAATTTCAAGTACCCCACCCCTCTCCGGGGAGGAAAAAGTCTGAAAGAAACACTGGTGTCGCGCTTAGCCATTACGCGAAGAATTGCATTAAAGAAATTGCGAGAAAACCACTTTTTAGATTAGACACATTAATTAGGCGGTAATTTTATTATAGAGTATCGATGAAGAAATTTCTTTTGAGTTGGGGGGGGGGGGGGGGCTCAGACGTTCTTGCGCGTGGGGTGGGGCTTCGCCCCTACCCGAAGAATTGTATGCAAGAAACTCTTCACGCAAACCATTTAGATTAGACAACATTTCCTTTTTATTCAATGTTTACGCGATAATCAATGACGTCATTATATTACTGTGTGCACTTTCCGCCTTGAGATTATTTTCAACTCTATGCTAAATGTGTCGACGTCATACTTCGTTTTTCGAATTACTATGCAGGTTTTTAATTTGCTTGTGTTTTCTCTAGAGCGTTCTTGTCAGACAGAGCGTTCTTGTCAGATAGATAGACAGACAGCGAAACTATAAGTATTATAATTCAGAGTCACAATTATCTATTATTAATTAATAATATTAATAATTTAAGGCCTCATTGTCAAAAATTTGGGTTGTAACAACATATCTCCATCAGAAATCAGTTAACGGATCAACCTAACATTGTAAAGTATATGCAGAAAAATGTCAATAATGCAAACTTTTGCTTAGGATAAAAATTTTAATATCACAATTACTTCTTAATAATATTATTTAGTTGGATATAAAGTATTATAAAGAATAAGTGATTTTGGAGGTTTTAACCCTCTAAAATGTAACCCACGTTAAAGGAAAACTGTGTTGACTTGCTTTTTTTATTTCAATTTGCATTTTACTACAAAAATCTTAGTGAGACTTACTTTGAAGTATAAATTACTTTTCTACAAATTAAAATTCTAAAATGGATTTTAAAATACTATGTTAAAAAATGAAACATGGTTTTTCCAAATTACACAACTAGACATGTTGGGTATGTTAATTCAAATGTTAAGATTAAAATTTAGATCAATAATATTAGTTAAGGGAATGGGATTTGTGTGAATAATAACAAGAAATAGCTGCCTGGTGCAAATGCAATAAATTGTGTAAGCTCACTCGACTCCCATTTCTGGATTGGTTTCACAAAAGCTGTTTTGTCCAATTCTAGAACCCTGCAGAAAAATTGAATAAGAAAAGTCAATATTATGCAATATGAAAAGTGTGGGATTTAAAACCAAATTTGTACTATTTGTATCCTTACCCATGCCTACAGAACAATCCCCTTACATTGGGGTCAAACAGTAACTATATATTTCATGTTGTTTTTTTTTCAACACAATATTTGCCTTTTTTTTCAATAGAATTTACTGTTCATTTAACTGCATATTTTATAACTTTTTTTTTATTTGAATTACTTATTTTACAATGTCTTCTAATCATGGTATAATAATAATATTTTACAGAAACTCTGTTTATTCTGTTAGTTACATCTTACAAAAACCTACACTGCTTATTTAATGAACTAGATCTATATGAATTCTATAAGTAGAAATATTTTTTTTTATTGAAAATCAAAAGTCTTTATTCTGTTTTAAATTCAATCCATTTTTTAGGCTAAATAAAAAAAAAACGTTTTTGCTTCAGAAAATTATTGTATTTATTGTTTAGACTGTTGGGTTAGGAGACATCAGGGTGATCACTGTATAAAATTGTATTAACAATTTCACTCTTGTCTTGTGTTCACCTGATTGATAACTGATAAACATAAGATGATAAACTGCAAAATATTACAGTTATTTATGCATACAATTTTGTAATTTTTCAAATTCAAATTAATTAGTTGTGCATAACAAAAAACATGTACATACCGATGTATATGAAGATAGTGTAAACTCAGGCAAAGCATCAGCTTGTACACTTTCAGCTTTAGCATCAGTCTCTATGTTTGCCATCTCTGGCTTCTGCTTCACTGTCTGCCAACTTTTAGTGCAATGTGCTGTTAACAATAAAGAAAATGTTAGGGAACAAAAACATTGATAATGATGGTTAATGTTTTATTCCTGTGACTTAAATTATTTCACACAAATTAATGGATATGATTAAAAAAAATTTTATAAAAATCGGTATATATATTATATAGGCTTTATATTAGTTCACACATATATATATATATATATATATATATATATATATATATATATATATATATATATATATATATATATCTAGGCCTAAATACTAAATACAAATAGTACATAATACTAAATATAAACTATATATCATGAGTATTCCTTACTTACTTGATATGATATTGAATATCTAATATTTATTTTAGCCTTTTTTCACTTTCAAAATCAACTAGCTAAAATAGAATCTACTTTAATTTAATTTAGAATATTTTATTCAAGCTTATTTTCTAATTTTAAAATTTTCCAAAGAGCCACTAAACTAAAACTTTTAATTAATTTATTCAATTTTATCGACGGACAGGTCTAAATAATAAATAATTACCCCCAAGTTATAGATCTAGATCTACATCAAGTAAGATCAAAATATTACTTAGATCTATGTTTAAAGTTTTACTTTACCTCAACACACAATTGAAACAAAGAGCACAATGCCTAGATCTAGATCTGAATATATAACGGATTACCACAGCATGACATCACTATTTGTATTTCCTGAAAATATGAACTCACACCTTTAGTTAGTTGTGGGCTATAAATAAAAAATAAAATAAGCAAGGGCTGTTCGACGTTTGATGTCAGCGGGGCTATTTCACGGTTCAAACCACTGTTTAGTTGGGTTTTTGTTTTTTATACAACGCTGTGCCTTCTTAGAACAGAGACTTAGATTAATGTTGCGATTTAGTTTGAGTAATAAGTTGGTCTGTAGGCCTATATAAAATAAAAAAGAATTTCCGTACAACATACGTGAGAATCCCCTATTTGATAACAACCATATCATTCAGGGTATTTCCACAATGTGAACATTATAATTTTCATTATATTGTACGAGCCGGCCCGCACAGCGTAACATGCGCTGCTATTTAGTTGTTTTATTTTCTACTCCACAGTAATTCATAATTTGTGAATTCGACACTACTAATGCAGCGACTGTAAATATTTTGCTTTAAAACATTATTATTGACAATGAAAAGATCAAACAGAACCATTTCAAATCGTTTAAAAACTAAATTATCTACCCCTAATAGCCGTCACTAATTCGAACCGGCTGTACGATTGTAAACATTCGGCGTGAACCACAGCTCACCAGACTGGTGGGGGTCAGTGTTTCTTCCAGACTTTTTTCTCCGGGGGCGGAGGGGGGGGGGGACACTGTTAAAAGTATATATTTTCTATAGAAATTGCATTTCGTTCGGCGTGGGGGGTGGGGGTGGTAGACTTGATGCCTTGAAGAAACTGGTGTGGGTGAGGTGGTAGCGATATGGTCTGTTGGGCATGCCTGGGGAGCGAGGGAGGGGGCGGGAGGAGGGTTAGAGAGTCGGCTTGCGTGGTGGTGGTGTCCAGCATGGTTGGGCGATGTAGAGAAGTGTATATATAGAAGACAAGAGATCGTGCATCTACTATTTAATTAAACAAAAACGGGACGTGCCCCCCCCCCGTCATAACGTTATATATTTCCATAGGCCACCCCACATCATAGCCCTCCCCCCCCCCTTTCATTCCCCCACACCAACAAACATAATGATGCAATTTTAGGCTATTTAAATAGGCTAAAGCCTACTACAATTTTTAAATATAAATCACATCATTTTAGAGAGAGAATGGATTGCTACATACTCGTTAAAATTTGCATCTTTTTTACGCTAATTATCTTACATTCTGTGTCAGAGAAGTGTAAGTTTAGACATTTTTATTCCGGCGAGGGGGGGGGGGGTGAAACTTTCGGGTTGGGGATGGCGGCGCACTAAAATTTTCGAAGGGGGTAGTTGAGGGGAACAATGGTTTAAAAGTATTTATTTTCTCTTTAAATTGTGTTGCTTTTTTTCTATTTCATCTCCCTCTAAAGAGATGCTTGGAAGACATTTGAATTTGGTACAGTCCCATTGGTTGTTGTTCTGGTAGTGATTGTTCACAATACACGATAGACAAACAATAAGCTGTTGTGGTTAAACTTGTGAGTTCCCCATTTATTAACTTAAGGATTTTAAGTGGCCGTGCATACAGTGTTTCTTCCAGACTTTTTTCTCCGGGGCGGGGGCACTAGATATTTTCGGGGGGGGGTGGACACTGGTAAAAGTATATGTTTTCTATATAAATTCCATTTCATTCGGGGGGCGGTAGACTTTCTTCGGGGGGGGGGGGGGGGGGAGGGATGCCTGGAAGAAACTGTGTGTGCATATGCATTTCATGAAATGGGTGGATGACAATTTTGGAGATCCCTAAGTGTTAGCGCCTGGGGCGCCCCCCCCCCCCTCTCCCAAGTTACGCCGCTGATGGGTGTGTTCTATACCGTAACTGTAGCCTACCTATTTGGCCAATTTAAAATATGTGGTTGTTTTTTTCAAGATAACCGTGCACAAACTGTAAAAAGACCTCTTTTAATAATTGTAGGCCTACACATCTTGAGCATGACATTATACAAAAAGTGAAATGTTTAAGCACGTTTTCCAATGGATATCAGTTATATTAGGTGCACATGTATACCTGGCAACTCAAAATTTCAATTTTTTTTACAGAAAAGTCTGTTAACTTTGTTTTTAATTGTAATGTTGAAAGGTATTTCCTTGGGTTCCCAGAAAAATGCGCAATTGGATAACTGCACAACGGAAAACCATGCAAACAGAAAAATAGGCAAAGACTAACTAATTAATTAAACTAATTCACTTTAGTTTTTTCATATTTCGAGGGAATGTACATGTGGTCACTCTTTGTCAGTCTACAAATACTTAATTTAAAAGAACAAACATGCCATTGTGCACATCTTTCTAGTCATCATTTCCTCCAACACAAGTATTACATATAAACTTGTTATGCTCCATATAGTCCAAGACTCCAATTTCAGCCTGCTTTTCTTTCTGGATTTTCTCCCATACCCTTTGTCGACCCAAAAACTAACTACACGGCAGTGTTACGTCCCTTTAAACATGTCCCCTGCTAGTGCGCGTGTTGTGTGCTGGAACGACAGGTACCCTCCCTTTGGTGTATAGTTGTAGCCCTTGGTTGAGTGTGTTTACAATAAAACTTTACATGGAAGTGTTCACGTGAGGTGTGTCAGGTGACGGGTGTCAGAGCGTGTAGCAGTTGGTTGTAGTGTGGCTGTGGAGGTGGTGTTGAGTATTGTTATTTATGTTGTAGACCGCTTTGATCTTTTATTATTTAGTTACTGTATATATATATGTATATATTAAATCTATTATTATAAAGTGTTAGTGTTATCTACTGTTGTATACGTTGTATTTGTCTGTTGCTATTTATATACACACCTAGACAGAAGAACCCAACAGGCAGCCTAAATGGGTTGCTGTCCCCTATCGAGGCTGATCAGCACTTTTTAACTTAGGAATCATGAGCTTTAACCACATGACAGTGCTAACCACTACAAAACTGTCATTACTGAAATAATGACCAAAATCTTAATTTAAAAATTATTCATTTATTTCAATTTAAAAACGTCAATGTTTTGACTCCATTTTATACAGTACGACTCCGCGACAAGGTTTATTAAGACGAGGTAAACATTAGCTCATCAAGACATCAATTTGAACAAGTCTGGCGTTTGTGTCACCAGGCAGTCTATAGGGCAACATGCCAGCAAACATGATCAGTGACCTGGCTTGGCTGCGCAGGTAATTTAAGTACTGAAAACAGAAAAAATGGACATGTTCTCACACATTGGTTTTTGTATATATATAATTCTAGTTAAAACATATCCAAGTTGTTTTTTAAAGTAAACTTAGTACTAACTACATGATTAGATTCTAATTAATACTGGCAGAACAATTCTGCATTGTCCTGCTGGCATTTGTGTAAGAATCTCATCTACAATACTTTTAACAAATTAGCATAAAATATGATGAACTAACTACCATCAAATAATAACGGGTCTAGGACATTACCCCCCCCCCCCCCCCTGTCAAGAGTCCGGACCCTCACCATAAGCAAACCATAACACAACCCGGTCTCTAAGTCTATCTACATCTAACTCTAACTCGATACCTATATTTACCCTTAATCCCAGCCCTAGCCTTAACATAAACCCTAACTTAAGCTATCATATCGCATCTATCTCTTAATGACTGGGGGTGGGTTAATGTCCTACAGGGTGGTGGGTGATTGACTAATTGAAATTCAAACAAATCCTGAGTGACAATATTAACACAGTTTTTCCCACCACTAAAAATCAAACATATCCTGACAATACTTACACTGTCTTTCCCACCATTGAAAATCAAACATATCCTGACAATACTTACAGTTTTTCCCACCACTGAAAATCAAACATATCCTGACAATACTTACACTGTCTTTCCCACCATCCTCTCCATATTTCCTCCGTGACAAGGGGCTTTGTGTGCTGGAGTTCCTGAATGAATAATAGAAAAACTTTTTTCTAATCTGTTATTTATCAACTTATTTGCTTTTCTAGGCAACAATATAAACAATAACATCTAGGTCAAGTTTTCATTTAATACTTATTGCAATAGCCCAGGAGTCGCTCATCGTTTTTGAGAAAACAACCACTATCTGATAATTAGGGGTCGTCCATTTATGACGTCCACACGCGGCGGAAAGGGGGGGGGGGTGTCCCAAAAAAAACAACTGACTTTTGTGGACTTTTATAAGGAAAAAAAGTGGATTTTGGAGGGGGGGGGGGTCCAAAATCCAAAAAAATTGTGGACATCATAAATGGATGACCCCTTATGATTAATATTTTTTAGGGAGCCACTCTTAAAATGTTTTTAAAAATTTGACACTTCTGGACTGATATAAAAAAATATATACAAAATCAGAGTTTAAAGTTTTACCAAGAGAAATAGAGGGAAATAAACTATTGTACTCATTGAGTAGGGTATTAATGATTAAACAATGTATGATGTCTGGACTAACCTGGTAGTGTTGTACTGATTGAGTAGAATATTCATGGTGGCCAACAGGAGGTCAGGTAAACATCTTCTTACCTTTAGAATAAAGTAAAAAACAGTTTCAACAACTGGATAGTTCTTAAATAAAATCTTAAACATCTTCTTACCCTTAGAATAAAGAAAAAAACAGTTTCAACAACTGGATAATTCTCAAATAAAATCTTAAACATCTTCTTACCCTTAGAATAAAGAAAAAAAAACAGTTTCAAGAACTGGATAATTCTCACATAAAATCTTGAATAACAAGACACAATAAATAAATCGGGAGTGATCTCCCCTAAACTTTCTCGAATATTTTTATATAAAACTAACAGGGGATGGGAACTCGGGCTATAGACATGATTTTTAATCCATTTTAAATACTTAAAGTTTTAAAAATAGAATAAAATCTTGTAGACAAAAGAATTGCACACCAAGTGAACGCTAAATAAAAAAGTGCATAATAGTGCACAATATTATTAGTACTTTAAAAATTTACATTAGTTTTTTGAGAAATCGGAAGTAGCGTAAATTACTACTTCCGGTCAACGGAAATGACTCAAAATTTAACAGAAGGTAGAGAATTAGATCTTTTACTTACATGTGAAATTTCATTTATCTATCTGAAATAGTACTCAAGTTATAGGCTTTTGAAAATTTCAAAGTAGGAAAAGTACCACTTCCGGTTATCGGAAATCGCTCAAAAGTTGATAGGGATCTACGATTTTGATAAAATACTTATATATGAAATTTCATTAACCTAGCTGTAACGGTACTCAAGTTATCCTGTTTACACACACACACACAGACAGACAGACACACAGACAGACACACAGACATACGGACAAGATTGCAAAATTATGTTTTTCCGTATCAGTGAGATGTAAAACGTTGAGATTTGTAAAAATCTCGATTTTTTTTTTTTGTGCACGATTACAAAACTTTCTCTATACTTCGTATATACGAGAAAGTAAAAAAGGTTCCATCTAATTAAATCTAAATTATCTGATTTTATCTATTAAAAAACAAAAATATAACCGTATAATACACAATCCCTTTTATACCTAGGTCACATAAACAGGTGAGCTCTACTTCATCTGCCCAGTGGACCGCCATTTTAGCACAAAGTTAAACGGAAGAATGTGTAAACTGCATTTCAACTACAAATTTAATGCCCCAAACCTGACTGAATAGTGATACAATTGTGATGATCTATATAAAAGCCTATATAGTAGCAAAAAACAAATGACCAACCTCATCGGAATAATGTTTGAAGTTGCTGACTCTATGATCAACTTCATCAGTTGAAAATGGTAAAATTTGAATCCCTTGCATCACCTACAGCAAAATAATATAATGTATAGTAAGAACATGTAACTGGCAACACATTAGTTTTAAAATTAAATAACATTTTGTTTATTACACAACACAGCATCAGTTTATATATACAGAAGCGGTGCAAGGTAAGGGGGTGGGAGCCACACCAATTGACACCATTTAGGATGGGGGTCACACAAATAAACACATTTGAGGAGAAGGGTGACACTTAATTTAAGAAATATATATATAATATATATTATTTATATATGCTTAAAAACATCAGAGTGGTAAGTTTGTTTAAATATTTAAGATGTTTTAAACTGATTTTGAGTTTGGACTGTTATACTGTTATAATAAATAAGTAAAGTTTAGCAATTATCAGTCAATTTACCTTCAGAGCATCATTGATGGCTCCAGCATGGCAGTAATCAAAGAAAGTGAGGAGATCGAGCAGGAGGTAGAATGTTTTTGTTGTCATTTGAGTGGCTTCATGGCCCAAAGAGCTATACCTGCATTGGTAGGATATGAGAGAGTGAATAAAGAACCAACTTGCCACTGCTGAAATGTTAATAAGACACTTTGATAATCAACACTCATCATTGCAGTACCCATCTACAGGCACAGTGTGAGTGGGTCACTAAATGTAAAAACCAATAGTTTCAATCTTGTTATCATTTGTTTAAAAACAAAGCAGGCTTTTTTTTAGTGTAAAAATTGACTTTGTAAGTGTAGTTTTCAAAAACAAAACAACTTAAATGATCATAATATGATTCATATAAAACCAAATTAGAAGAGGTGCCTAGATCTAATCTAACATATAAACAATATTGCAGAGTAGCCATATTCTATTTTAAGCTCTGAAGAATTAGCACTATAAAGAGAAGCATGTATTCTACTCTCGACAAGAAGCAAAGATTCTATTGCAAGTAAATGTAATGAGCCACAGATTCTAATGTAAACTATATAAAAAGCAATGATTATATTCTTATCTATATGAGAGAAGCAGAGATTCTACTCTTATCTATAGGAGAGAAGCAGAAATTCTAAAGCAAGTTATAGAAATGAAGCACACATTTTATTGTAAGTTTATTAAGTTACAGAACAACAAGCTAACAAAAGGTTTAAGAACTCGAGCAGTCTCACCTTTCTGCCATATTGACAGCTATGGTCTGCAGTCTCTCCCTTGTGGACAGAGGAGATGGAGCTAGGGCAACCACCTGGCTCAGCAACTTGTTCATCAAGGTCAAGGCTTTCTCATGATCCTGGCAAGGTTTCATGGGGTAAAAAATTCTTTATTGGGATAACAAGTCCCCCATAATTACTCAAAGCTATCATTTTTTTAAAGAATGAAGTTAACAAAGGAATAAAATAAATTTCTTATTAAATACTACCTTGGCTAAATCATAAAGCTGTATGGCATCTTCAAATAGACCTTTGGACTCTGTTTCTTTAGCCACCAGTTCGGTTATTTTCTGTGTGTCTTGGTTAAAACGATCTATAGCACCTGGCTGAAGAAGCATGAACAAATGTAACACAACTCATTATCATGTCCCGTTGATAAAATAATGAACTAAGGTTGTTTTTAATTTTAACTTTAGTTACCTTTCTAGTTCCATCTTTCATTAGTCTTCCAAGGAGCATATCAAACTGAAAATTATATTAACAAAACTTTTATTATAAATATTGCTTACATATTTTAAAAAGGTAGAACTTTAAAGCAAGTTTACACTATTTTAAAAATAATTCTAAAAGGTTTCAAATAAAATTGAGCATAAAGTGAGCATAGATTTATATATTAATATTAGTATAAGATTAACACAAAAGTAATTGTAGAATTACATTTACTTTACCTCTTTAGTTTCAAGTACTAACTCACTAACACAAGACATGAAAAGATCCTCTCCATTCGGTGTTTTTAGATTCCTGAAACACAGCATGGAAAATAAAAATATTAACTAGATTGTTTTTCAAATTTTTATGACTCAAAAATATCCAAAAGCATTGAGGAACAGTACTGTTTAAGTGGGTAGCTTAAATAAACCATAACATACAGAACTCCTGTAAGTAAAAAAAATCCTTTTTGAACATAAAATCACCTCAGAAAGTAAAAATACTGCAACGCCTCCTGTGCATCTGTGGCCTCAAACTTGCGTGTGTACATCATAATCAGACGAGCTAAATTTAGTCTCCTCAGCCCAGATGGATCTGATGCATCTTGACTTACTGAAGAAATATGTATTATACATTTAAAGAATGACATTTTAATGCTAATTTTTGCAATGAATGACCCTAACTTTAAGTTTATATTTACAGGTTCCTGTTCCATAATTGAAAGTTTTCTAATTTGAAAATCAATTTCCTATAAGTAACCGTCCAACAAGTTTAATAATTGTGCACAATTGGTAACAATACTGGCAAGTAGGCAGGATAATGAGAGCAAATCTTAGCCAGATACTTTTAATGTCATAAAAACATAATCCAAAAAATAAATTATTTTTTTCTACTGAGTTAAATCCTTCACATTTGTAATAACTGTAATTATCATAGTAGCATTTTTTATAAATTATAAAAAAGCATTTAAATGAGAAAAAAAAATTCAATAAAAATCTCAAAATCAATATCTTACATTCATTACACATTAAAATCAAAATAACATACAAGAAAATAGGAGTAAACACGACTATTTCACTTACACAGCTGTGCCTGACAGTTAGGAGGGATGACCAACATCTTCATCTCATACAGAACTAAAGCCACATGCACAGCATGGTACCTCAGCCTCTCAATGCGACTCAAGAATTCTATAGCAGCCTCAAACTGGCAGGTGAGGAACAGGACTTGGAAGTACAAGAAAGGCTGCTGGTAACCATTGAAGTGGGACTCACCTGTTTAGAAAAAAAAATGTAATGAAGAAACAAAAATGAAATAACTTACGCTGTAATTTAGAAAAAAAATGAAATACCCGACGCTGTGATTATTATCAGGATGATAATAAGTAAACATCTAACAAAATAACTTGAGTTCGTAAAGGGGAACAGCGAAAGAAATACAGAACAACACAGATCAGGCCACTAAAGTGACAGATGGGAGAAAGGGTAAGAAAATGATTTATTAAGGCTAGGTGCGGTACCAAATTTAGGTGTATCGGATGCCTGATATAGAATTTCAGTTTTGACCTAATTATTAAAATACATTCATTTCTAAACATAAAAACATATTAGTTATTACTAGAAAATAGTGATTTGTATTTTGCATTTATTGGGTAGTTTTTTTTAAATTATTGTTTTTTTACTTCTTTCGCGTTTTTCTCAAAATTACAAATTTGACACTTCAAATTGCTACTCCTCAGTTAGTTCTACTTGTATCTTACTGAAACTTTACCTACAGATACATACACATAACTTCTATGTTCAATTTCTATCAAAACGCTTTATTTTTATTTTAAAGCCAGAAATAAGCTACATTTGTGCACGTTTTAGCGTTTTTTATCAGTTTGATAGAATTTTTTTTAGAAAAAATAGTTAGCTTGGCTTTACTTAAAATTTGAAACATAGAACTTAATAAGCTAAAATCGCCCTATATAATTCATGCATTTTGGTGTGTTTAGCACTTGTGGTTATAGAGCCTTAGCATTTTGAAAATGATAAACAAAAATCCAATATGGCGGCCGTTACCATGGCAACCATATGATAAAATAGATTTTTATACCTTTTTTTAAAATAACTTTCAGTATATATTATATGGGTAAAGTTTTAATGGATTAGCTTGAATAATAACGAAAAAGTGCATTTGGTGGAGCACCTAGCCTTAAGAAATGAATGTGTGGTTTTGTTTTTTTAAAAACTGCTATTTTTTTTTTTTACATAAATGAACTCATGATTGACAACAATGTTAGGTCAAAATGATATAGTAAAAACTGTAAACAGTGCCTGTATTTCACGTAACTTATGATTTTTAAAATTCTAAACAAATTTATTTGCAGAGTATACAGTTCTTTGTAAAACAAATTAACAGAATACTAGTCATGCTAGCATTTTAGAACAGCTACTTAAATCAATTTTAGCTAAACCTTCTCCTAGATCAATCTGTAGGGAAATGTTTTCCTTACAGAACGTTTTGTCTCAAAAATAAACTTTCATCATGTAGTTTGCATAATAAATATGGGAAATTATTAAAACTTACCATACTCTTCATACAATAATTTTTGTAAATGTGGAAGTGAGAGGTGTTCTTGTGTGCCATCAATGACTGAATGCTCCTGGATGTGGGATAACTTCATCCACAGGTAGTCGTCAATTTTGTCTAGAATTTCTGTGTGGTCCTCCACCCAATCACAACGACCTATTACACAGTAGACAGCCCTGGGAGGGATAAGTAATAGACCTAGTTTAAAAATTGGGAATTAACACAGGTAAAAGGATGGACACAAACCATGAACTTTAACCTAAGGGATTATGCATTTAAATAATGGTCTTTAAATAATCCAACTTTCATTTATAGCAAAATGAAGAAAGCAATGTCACTAGTCCCTTCCAAAAAAAACTTTTCTAAGATTAAATAAAATATTTCTTACCTCTAATTGACAGGGGTTGAATTTTTTTATAGTTAATATTATTATACAATGAGTAATTGTAAACTGCATATTTGGCTATTTCAATTAAATTTATTTGAAGTTAATTTTTGTACTTGAACTCAATGAATTCTCTTTTTTGTTTACCAGTATGCTACCGTTATTTTATCAAAATAAAGGTACTAATTCTAGCTTACTAAGCAAAGCTTTGTTTAGCTCACCGTTTGTAAGGGTCTGAGCAGTTCTTAACCACTCGACGATACTGTAGTTTAATCTTTGTGTCATTCCCAGGGCCCAGCCTGTGGTCTGTTGTGCTCAGGTATTCATTAAAATAGGTTGGAAAGTCACCCAACTGGTTCCTGGTGGAAAAGAATGTTGTAAATATCAGCACTGATGCTATTATAAAACTTAACTTTCTTGTACACTTCAGTGTTATATAGGAGGTGATTTCCTCCAATACAATTAAGTCTTATATGTTAACATGTCAACATGGCCTATTGACTCTGACCAGACAGCTTTTTTTCTGGATTTCCATACCCTTTGTCAAACTAAGAACAATATGTAAGACAGCAGTTATCTATGTAAGAGTTTTCTCTAATAGATGGGTTGCTGTCAACAACTAACAAGCCTCATCAGAGGTCCAAGTTCGGGACTTCAGGAGTCAGCAACCAAGAGCTATTCCACCAACCATGCCATCCCCCAAAAATTGAACTGAGTTTATATATTTTTTCCATGATTTGCATCATCCCATGTAGGCGGCCATAACGGAAAAACATATTCAATCAGCCAAAAGTTATGAATAACTTTATTATAACTATATACTTGAGTGACTATGAGACAAAATAAGAGTATTACCCGGCTCTTTCAACAACATGCTTGGCAGCTCTAAGGTCCCCACAACGTAAACAATAAAACAACAAAGCCCACACTGGTTGTTTGTCTAGCTCTCCATCCTGGTGAGATTCATAAGCGTCAGAATTAAATAAAACTTCTTCAGCCTCATTGAGGGAAAAAATGGTTAGACAAAATAATAACAAAGTATTGTTAAATGAGAAATAAAATTTTTGAGAAAGTTGACAAGAAATATAAAGAGAAGTGCTGACCTCAGATGAACGAGCTGTGATAGGAGGCTTTACATTCAAGTAACTAAGAACTAGGTTGTAGGTTCCTGGAATACCCCCAAGCTGTGCTTTTCTTAGATTGCTGCAGATGGTTGTCTCAAGGTAGCGAATGTAGCTGCAATCAAGTAAGATAATATTAGGTCTATAATAATAAATAAAGATAGAGTAAAACCACTTACAAACTAACAATGAAACTAGAAATTAACAAGAAAAGTAATCGTTAGAAATAGACACATAAAAACTAGAAATTCACAAACATACACAAAAAACCCTTTAGAAATAAACCATAAGGGATGCTTTAACCCTAGTTTTTTAAGTACAAGAAAAGTAATAAATAAATAAATGCATAAAATTATCTCAGGTTGTCCTATAGAGAACTATATTTTAATTTAAACATTATTTTATAAAAATTTTTAAAATAGAATGTTATGCAAACAAAGTTTGAGAATTTGCAAAATACTGTTTTTTTTTATTAAACAATTATGTAGACCAGAAGCCTTTGCTAGCATCCAAACCACATATTTACACCTTCATTTCTATACAAAACACAGGGTAACCTACCTTTCCTCTAGATAGTGTTTTGCCCTGGCCACAAAGCTGGACTGTATCTGAGGGTTTTTGCGTATCAAGGCGGGCTGATTGCCAAACATCTGACCCAATGGGATGACTGTCATACACTGGACAAGCTCCCACAAGTCTATGACATTCTGAAACATTTTTTATATTTTAGATAAACAACTAGAAAAACAATATTTTAAATTTTGAATATTTTTCAACATTTAGAAATTACAGTGAAATATTACAAGCAACTAAAAGCAAGTGAGAGAACTCTCTGTTACCTTATCTCCAATGCTGTTTGCTACCTGAAGGAACATGTCAACCAGGCTTGGCAGTATGCCATTTTCTATAACATGCTCATTGTAGATAAAAACCTGCAGATTGACCATGGCAATTAATTTTTATGACATGTTACATTATACAATTAGTTTTTTTAAACCGTAAGCATGATTGAGAAATGCCATAAAAATCTGCTGATTTACAATTGCACATAATATTTATGAAGACGTGTTACATTATACAATTACATATTTAAAAAAAACCCATAAGCATTCATTAGCATTCAAGAGAAACAAACCTGTCTAGCATAAGCCATTTCAACATTATCCAGACTGCTTCTACCTTGGCTAAGTTGTCCATCTGATATAAGCATCTGTGTGATTAAAATTTAAAAACAAACATTGTTTACAATAATGTATTGCATTTGAACTGCATATTTAAACTATACAAACATTACAATTTTTAGCCATCACCTAAAAGAACTTAAGGTACTGACTACTGGAAATCATATTTTTTCTAAATGCATGTGACCTACTTAGGTCTAGTAATGTTTTATTTTTAGTTTGACATTGTTATAATACCATATATGGTTTGTGGTGCAACCACTGGTTTTTTTCCGCTGTCTTACTAAGATGATTGATTGTTTCAGACCAGATGACCACACCAACCAATGGTCTTATGAGTTGAAGGTGACCTTCCATGTTACCTAAGTCTATAAATAGATCGCCCACAGGTATCTCGAGGCAGTCCATTTTGACCAGTTGAATGTGAGAGAGCATAAGTCCTGAGTGTGCTATGTATTATTAAGTTGTTTAAGTATCCTAGTATTATATTACTTGTGGCCAAGTGATTCTTGATGCTATAGCAGTGTTATGTGAACTGTGGCTATTTTTATAAAGTGTTCGAATCTGTGATAGTATTTATTCTTACGCTTTGTAAGTTGGGTTTTGTTATTTCTAAACTAAATATTTTATCTTGTTTAATCTAGTGTTCTGCCGCAACTTTGTTCACTTATTAAAAGTTGTATGCAGATTGAATGAGTTGTTAACTTCAATAGTTTCACTAGTTTTCCCTAGACCTCGAAATCGAGCCCTAGTGAGTTGTTGAGTTAGTTTCCATTCATTTAGGCTTTAGGTCATTTGCATATAACCCCAAGAAAGAATCCGGGAGCGTTCACCATCTATCTAACTGGTAGATAGGTGTCCGTTACATGCATAAGCACCATTTGTGGCTTTTAAGCAATGGCTTCCAATTATTCATGGCCTTTTAAGATTTTTGAGGAAAGATGGTTTGCTCTAGTTCCATACTGCTTTCATCAAACTATGTCAAATAAAAGAAAAACAAACCTCTGGATCCTGCTGAAATTCAAAAGACTCCTGGCCTGAACCAAGTAATGAGTTAAGAATTCTCTGTTTCTCTCTCTCCCACTCATTCTCCATGCACTCCCAGTGTCTTCTGTCAACCTCTTCAAACGTCTGCAAAGAAAAATTTGTAATTAGGTGCTATGGAAAAACAAAGTAGTAAAAAAGCCTAAAACAATTTTCTCTTATGATTTGTCTGAAATAAGATTAAGTTTAATTTTGGGAATATATCTGTGAACACAACAAAACCTCTTAAACTATGGATGGTAATGGTAGATTTTATTATTTGATAATTCAAAGTAAATTAAATTTCAAATTACTTACATTTTTTCTTGTTTGTTCAATAACAGCTAACAAGGCATTTTCTCTTTCATTTCTAAGGAATCCCTGTATATTGAAAAGAGAATTAGGTTAGGTATCAAAGTAAAAACAAAAAAAAACATTTTTAGAGTGCTTACAGACTTTTTTAATCACTTGAATCAACAAAAATGTGTTCATTTATTTATTTTCTATATTGAGTAGGCTACAAGACTTGCCTCAATGTCAGTGTCCCTCACAGGTTCCAGTGGCTCAAAGGTTGTTGCTGCCCTTAGCCCTTCAAGACGTTCTGATATTTTGGGCAGAACAAAACCTTTACTGCCCAACAGTATGGAACTGAGGAAAAAATTACTAAATTTAATCATGTACTTTCAATACAAATAAAAATAAAATCTTTTTATTTTTTATTTTTCAGGAATTATTGAAAACGGGCTACACTAAAAGCTAATTAGAGACAGAATTATTTAGTAGTTGTAATCTTACTGTACAATACTACAAACTAGACCACCAATTTTCAAGTACATATTAATTAAAAGATGGAAAATAAGTTTTATAAACACAATAATATTATTAAACACCTTACTAAAAATAAATTAGGAAGTAGTAAACAAAAGGTAAAATAAACTTACGCCTGAACATCAATATTATCCTGACTGGCAGGAGTCGTTCGTGTAAGTAAACGTTGGCCAGCTTCAAGTATTTGCTGTAGATTTCTCTCCACATGGGGGAGGTCTGTTCCTGAGTCCATGTCTGCAGTCAGCTGCTCAGCCTGCTGCAGCAGGTCGGTGAATCCCTCTGAGTCGTTATTCATTCTGATTATTTAGTATTTCAGTTATTTTGCCGAAATTTTATTAGACGTTGATGTAAACCTGAGAATAAAATGAAAATAATAGTTTTGTAATATTTCAATAATTAGCTGATGTATACTAATACAGTAAATAATTAAATCGTAAACAGCTAGCTCTCCTAAGATTAAATTCTTTCTTTATATGGAGTTTATCCACTTGTTATCCTAATAAAAATTAAAGTAGGACTAATGGGCACTTGTTAAATGGCTTGAAATTTTAATGTTTTATTTTTTTAAATAAAGGATAAGCTAGCCAAGAGTCATTTTCATTCCGCATTCCACTGCTAGATATTCAATACTGACATTAAGTGATATTTCAAGATCAAAGGCGTGTGCAGGTAAAAAAAATTTTAGAATCTAGTCCTTGTAAAGACACTACTATTTATATATGCACTATTAGGTTAGATGATAGATCAATTATTTATGTAAAAAAAATTTCTTTAAACATAAATTCTAACAATTACCCTAAGTAGACCTAAATTTTTCAAATTGCTTCATGTGGGGAAAATTAAAAGTGATGTTAAATAGCAATAGTTCATGGTATGACGCCTGCTAATATCTTAACTAATGTGAGCTTGCAGTGATCCTACAACAATGTCATGATTTTTCCCACTGACAAGATTACATGAGCAGTTGATCAAGCAAGTGACAATGTTTGGAATTTGAATTATATTCATTTAGATCAAGATGAGATTCATTTAAAAAACACTCATATGGAAACAAAAAATAAAACACTGATTATGATTAACTTCGACTTCTGTTTTGAACTTGGAGTTCCTAGGTTAGCTATTGCACTATAGACTCCCCCATGATGTGCTAGAATTGAAATAATAGGTGTTTTCGATCAGCAGACAGATAAAAGAAATAAAGACTGCTTCATTTAATTTCCTTACTACAAGATGAAATACCTTGTGATTCCAAACTTATTGAAAACTAAAAAGTAGTAGGCCTAATAAATTGAATTAGGGCCTATAACTAGTTATTTTTGGCTGTTTATGATTTTTTAAATATTTTAATTTTATGGGCCTATCAAAAACCTTTCTCGCTCTATTAGTAAACAAACTAGTGTTATGGAGGGGAAAATTAAGGGTGTGGGTGGGGACATCCGTAGTCGAAAGGTAAAGCGTAGGATAAACCGAAAGTCTCTAGTAAACATCCCTGAGTTCACCCACCTCTGATGGGTACCTGACTCACATTAGACTTGACATTAGGGAAAGTAAAGGAGGCTGGGCATAGTCAAGTGCTGACCGCATTATCCCTTCATATGCCGAAGTCACAGAAACAGGTGAACTCTACACTACTACTCTACAGTACACTAGTCTACACTCTCTAAAAAGTTAAAACTAAAACACTTCACTTGCCCCAGCCAGAAACTGTCAGGTTTGAAAGGGAACTAAGTTTACGACTATTTATTAGATCTAGATTCTACTAACTAGAAATCTAGGTAAAATAAATTACATCTAGAGTCTAGATTTTATAAATTAGAATGAGGGATCTAGTCTAGATCTAGAAAACAAAAAGGCAAAAGCTCAAAAGCTAAGTTTCAGTTTCTCAACTTTCACTTTCTCTCGTCTCTTCACTTTTGTTACTTTTGTACTTGTTCATGTCTTGTTTGACAACCAAACATTTTTTCTTAACTGGTCGTTTTCTACTGCTAAAATAAACCAGCCTACTTCTTTAATAATTGCTTATGCCAACCTCTAAATATAAACTTGATTATAAAAAAATCCAATGTATTTTTGAAAATACTAACAGACTGATGGCTTCGATTCTTCGTTCATTGAAAGCACCGCCAGTCGGAGGCGGACATTTTGAACGGTGCTAGGTGAAATTATATGCCGTTAATAAAAGTTCGACTTACTTTTTGTTTATATTTTTTTGAGCTCATATGTTTTTCAAGATTGCATTTACTATTACCGTTACCAACTTTTATAAGAAATCCAAGAATTATTAGTTCGTCTTTTAAAAATATAAGAAGGCTATAAACTTTATTTTTCGTAGAGGGAGCCTATCTCTCTAAACACCGTTTTTTGGCCATTGATGATATTCGTTCTCAAATTTTTAAATAGCCCATAATTTTACGTTCTTAAACTTAGAGCCTAAAGTATGGCTATATGATTTATACCATTATATGGCACATGGGGGTCGTCCATCGTTTTCTATTACATTTTATTGAAAAAAAATTTTAAACGCGTAATTTTAAAATGCAAAAGTGCACCCTCCCTCCCCCCATCACTCATCCGGACGCCCCCTCCCCCTATGGTTATTTATGAACAACCCCTTATGTGACAATGGGTTAAAAGTGTAACAACATGAGTTCCATAATTTTTAAAAAAAAATGAATTTTAGCTGTTATTTCGCTTTTTTTTTTAACTTTTTTTTTTTAAACTTTTTTTTTTTTTTTTTTGCAAATTGTAAAAATAAATTTATATAATATATAAATAAATAAATCTCTTAACCCTTGGGGGTCGTTTGAGAATTACAGATAAGTGTAGTGTGTCTGGGAATTATATTGCATGGCTGGATGCCTCCATCAAGGTGGCCTGCCTTGGTTACAAACACATGGCTGTTAAAGTTCTTTTAGGAACTCTTGCACCTGGCCAGTGATCTTTACTGGAAGGCCATACGCCCTGTGATGCCATGTTAACATCAGTTGTTTGATTTTGGAGTTATCTCTCCAAGATGTGCTGCTGTCCCCAGCTATCACACTATCAGGCCTCATTAGCTCGGGACTTTTGGGTTTAGCATCCTTGAGTTTTCCCAACCCAACCACTCAATGTTAGTATGATCTTGGTGGATATTTTAGAAAGAAACCAAAACTTTCATCTGTTGGTGTCAAGGGAGTCACACTTTTTCCTTTAATTAATTGTCTTTATCAGGTTCTTCTTCTTCATCCATAATTAAGTATTGCACATTAAATCTGTTATGCCCAGTTGACTCAGACAGTGTGTCCAAAAGGTACAGCAGTTGATTACTAATAGTAACAGAAAAATCTCAAGTTTGGATTCCAGAGCTCTGTTGGGTACCTTACTTATGTTAGGGAAAGTAAAGGAGGCTGGGAATAGTGCTGACCACACTATCCCATAATATGCCAAGGTCACTAAAAGCATAAAAACTCTACTTCACCAGCCGCATGGACCGTAAGCTTCAAAAGGGTACTTTATTTCTTTTTTACAAACATACTATGCAATTGTTTAATGTAGGTCTGTTTGCAGATAATGTCTTGGAGTAATGATCTTCAGGATGCTATTTTCCATGCACATGAGTGTTTGCCTTTTTAAAACAAGACTCTATGTGGGAACCATGATGCTATTAATACTGTTTCTAATGTTTATAAAATAATCATGAATGAGCCCCTGTCTATGCTAAGAGGCCTGTGGTAAGTTTCCCAGAATAAAGCATTAAGAGAGGGCAAGTTAGTGAAGGAGAAACATGGAGACATAGTATAAATAAAAACAAATTACAAAACCATCTAGAAAATGGATTTTACTTCATGAAAGAATCAGGCACTACAGCAAATAACACATCTGTCAAAAAAATGATGATTCTGAATAATGGGGGCTGGGATTTTAAACTACAAGGAACAATATAAATGGAAAACAAAATGTTATTTATTACAGTGTATAGGTACCATTTTTTTTTGTTTTAAAATATTAAAATGAGATCAGCCAATTTTAAAAACTCTTTTGTGCTAGAAATACAAAATGTAAAATGCTAAAAACCCTGTGTGTTAGAAATACTATCAAGATATATTTGTATCAGTGTTGTTGTTTTTTTTAAATTTCTGAACATATCTTTTAATAGACTTTTTAAAAAAAACTAACGGGACAAAGGAATTAGGTTGCTAGTAGTAAACTTTTTATCAATATTACACTATTATTATCCTAGTCTACTTAATAGGTCTAATAACAAAACTAAATCTATTCTTATCCTACACACTCAATTGATATTATATTACTAATATCAAATTAACACCATTTAATTTAAAATGAACCATATAAACACATTGGTGTATATATTTAGTGTGTTTATAATTGTATAGTTTATGAGAGTTCAATAATAAAAAATTACACTACAAAGAAACAAAAGTTAGTGAAATCTAAAAATTAAATTAAAAAACCAAAACAATACCTTATTATTAAACATTAAATCAATGCACTGTTTTCACGAAAAGTCTACATTACAAATTTAAACAAAAAAATTATGTTAAAGATAAGAAAAAGCTAACCAAGTGTTTAATTGTAATAAAAATAATATTCTAGAAATAACTGTATACAACAAAAGCAGTTAACTGTTAGCATTTCCCCCTATAGTTAACAGTGAAGATTCTATATCAGTTTACATGTGAAATTATTTAAGTTTGATATATAAAACTTTAGTACTCTTTCAAATAATTTTACCAGTAATAAATAAATAACCCTGGATATATATATACAAGAGTGAATATTTTTAGTTTAAAATCCCACAGATATGTATAATAGTACAAAAGCTATCTTTTCATGTTTGACGTTTTAAGTTAGAAACCAATAGATCAGCTACAGAATGCACAAAGATACACTCAAAACAATGATAAGCTTGAAAACTTGTTCACTTAAAACACCAAATTCGTAACCATGGGTCATGAACAAAATACTGAGAAAAGAACAATTTAATCCTGTGGTAGTTACATGAACACCTTTTGTTAAATCGTCAACACTTTTTGAAATAACTGAGTTAAATTTAAAAAAAAAAGGATAAATTAGCTAACAGTTAAATGAAATAACTTATAGGCCTACATTAAATGCTTATCTAGTCCACCAAGGTCTTATGGGTAACTAACCACACAACCCATTTAAACAGAGTTCACAGAAACAATGGAACAGTTTGGTCAAATTGTAGAGCATATGACTGCTAACCTGAAAGTTTTGAGTTTGAATATGAGTTCAAGTCCATAGTACGTCCCTGAGTACACACAGCTCTGAAAGGTACCTGACTCATGTTAGGGAAAGTAAATACGGCTGGGCATAGTGCTGACCACACTTTCCCTTCAAATGCCGAGGTAAAAAAAAAACAACAGGTGAACTCTACTTCATTTGCCCCATGGACCACCAGGGGAACTACTCACATGTGGAGCTAAAACTAGATGTGGACAAAATGAACGAATCACAGGTAGTAATGTGAACACTTTAGTTGAAACAACAAATGGTTTACAAATGAAAGTAGATACACAGAGAAAAATTCTTGTGTTACAAGGCACACGCTAGACTGCCACAACAGGCAGATAACATAGTATGATGGTGAGGAGAAATCTAGTTAACAACTGAACTAGTAGACTAGACATAAACGAGAAGGAGACATAGAGTTGATCAGTTGTTTTTTAACAATGATAAATAGTAAAAATTGTAGAAACTTCATGGTTGTATTTTTAGAATCTTTGTTGTCCATTAAAGAGATAGACAGCAAGAACACTATTTAGTATGTGAAAAACTGGAATAAAAATGCCTTTAAAATGCAGTCTACTTGATAGCCAACCAGAATACTGTTGTTTAAGGTCTATTTGGCATGTTTTGTAAAAAAATACTTTCTTTTCAAGAAATATTGTCTAATTGACAGTCAGAGAAGAAATACTTGTGAATCAACAATTTATACCTACAGCTTAAACAGAATAAAATCTATGTCATTTTTATAGAAATCTAGCTACTTATCACATGAATTGAATTTCAAACATTTTCTGGCAATCCAAAATAAAGATCAGTGATACTCTTGAGAATGCTGTTTTTGGTGGGAAAATATCAGTTGAAAATTTAAAAAATGCAAACAATAATTAAATGAATAAATTTACATTGTTTAATGAAGACTATTGCACAATTCTTCAAACAATCATTAATCAATCACAGTATTGTACATATAGTTTAATTAAGATTTACAAGATCTATGCACTAGATTAATGAAGAATTTTTCCTTCACAAGACAACATGGGACATAACTCATGATGAAGAGTAAAAGTGAGGTAATTTCTGGACAATGGAACTAAAAGCTATTTTAATTCTATGCTTGACAAACAAGCCCTCATACCTCATAAAAAAAGGTTACTATTTAAGTTGTAAAACAAATTGTAATTTTAAAAATGAAACAAAGTAGAGAAAAAAATATAACTGAAATAAAAACATGTTATGGGCATTCATTAAGTGATTTATTTGAGATTAGACTAGAATAATTTTTTTAAAAATTTCAAAATAAAGTAATTTAAAACTAAACACTCTAATCCCAGTCAATCTCTTTATTCCCACAAAAATAAATAGAAATGGTTTAAAATGTCAAGTATCTTGAGACACAAGCATTTCTCAGTATTCTATTAAAGAGCGGACGAAAAGATAAGCCCTCATTTAAAAAATATTGCATCAATTATTACATTTGTAGGCTATAACTTGGTTTAGCCAATTTAATAAATATTCGTCAATGGGATTTCACTAATCCATTACCCTGGAGACAACACATTAACTGGAGATCAAGAACAAGAAGTAAAAAATATTTTAGTTTATGATCAAATTAGCTAAAAACTACATGGAAGAACTGTTAGATTTTTAAAATGCTTTATTTTTTGTTTATCATCCTAATAACACTAGGTAAAAATGTCAGAACATTTTTTTTAAACTTGTAGGCCTATTTTTTCTTATAATTTTATTGCCTGAATTTGACCACAGGTAATGTTTTTATTACTTGGAGAACAAGTTCAATAAACAATTACTAGCTAACTCCAACTGCTTCAATATTATAAAACATGCTTTTATTATTATTTACATACATTTTTTTTAAACCCAATGGTACTTCTGAAGGTACATTGCCCATCGTACAACTTTATAATTTTATTTTATTATTATAATTAGTTCTTAGTTCAAATTATTCCCACAAGATGCTTCAAAAACCAAAAAATTCTTTAAACTACCATGAATTGTATCCTACAAGATTCTCGTCCACACATATGGAACATAGGGCAAGTATACCAAACAAAAAATTATAATACTGTAAACCCAATTTTTTAAATAAGTCATTTCACAAATTTTATAACAAAATTATACCTACTATATTACAAAACCAAATGCTACATAGTATCAATCAAGAAAAATTGAAAACTACAAAATTTGCTACCCTTAAACCTTGAGAGAACCGTCAAAATGTAAATCACATTACAAGCTAGAGGGGGGAAGGATTGATGTTTATATCAGCACAACAGCTGAGTCAGGTTATATAAAATAAAAATTTTTATATAACTGAGACACTGATGTTTGTAAACATAACCTTTGTTTATTCTACATTTCTATTAAAATCAATCAACACAGATGTTTCACTCAGAATCAACAACATTGGTAGAACAGGGGGGAGGGGGAGGGTGTACCTTAAGTGATACTTTGTTTTTGTTTTACAATAAAAAATGTTGAGGGGTGTATAAATCAAAAGCTGACTTTAGAGGCAGTTCTATATAAAATGCACATGTAGATAATGTGCAGTTAATCCCCGTCCCCCAATTAGGATCAGCTGGCAGTCAGTATGGGGTACACACTAAATTATTGCCAGTAGAGGGTTAGGTTGGTTTATAGACTATTCCTATTATTTTCTACAATGTTCATAAATAATTTCTAAAGGGGTGTATTCTGAGACATGCCTCTAAAAATCATTTTGATGGGGTGCTAAAATTTAATATAAAGCGGAACTTATGCATCAATACCATAAAAGTAAAGTTCCCTTTCAAACCTGCCGGTCATATGTGACCTCTGCATATGAAGGGATAGTGTGGTCAGCACTATGCCCAGCATCAATACCATATACTACAAAAATAGGTATCAATATCATACAACAACTGCAGCCTATTTGTGTTGGTATGTTACAACACAACATAAGCCCTTATGTGTCAGCATTGAAGACAGTCTGCTTATAGCATGTAAATAAAAAGTAAATCAAGATGGTTTTTTGCACCATGACCCAAGAAATCAGAACTGATCCATGTATGTAAACTACACATATAGCAGTATACCAGTGCAAATTATATGGTAAAATAATGTCTTCTTCCTCATGACTGAGTATCAGTGACAATGCAACACAATCAGAAAAAATAAAAAATAATTGTAAAGACTTTTTAGATATAGTCATGGAACACAATTTATACAACAATGCCTTCTGTTTAATAAAATAACAGACATATCTATTCTTGATGTGTTATAACAATATTAAAATTAAATAACAGAAAATACTGAATTCTTATTTGTTGTGCACTATTTTAATCAACAAATATATTGAGGAAATAGGAAATAACATTTGGCCATTGACACAACCTTGGTATACCCTCTTTAACTGTATATTGTACAATATATAGGTATATATTTACACGATGTTGAAAGATGTATATAAAAATGTATACTGGTATTTCTTTTTATCTGTACCTCATAGAGGCCAAATTATAATGGTATGTGTCGGTAAAATATATTCCAGATTTCTTATGTTAAAATACAATTTTAGAATATCTTTTGTACGGTGCCGTCATAAGTAACCACAGAAAGAAGTTACGTCGTTTCTGGTCAGTATCTGGCACCGCTGAGATCACGAGGCTTCGAACAGCAGCAGCTTCAGCCCACAGCATCATTAATCAACAACATCCACCTACAGCAGCTTTATGACAGCAGTGTATAAGGAGTGGGTTGCACTTCAGCCGAGTAGTTTTGTACCCAGGAGGGGGGATAACTCAGTCTGGGTTGAGAAAAACTGTCTTGCTGCAGTCACCGTTTGGGAGGGAGTAGTTGGTTCTTTCCGAGTCATCCATGGCCTTCTTCAGCTCACCCCTGGCCTTACGGATCACAAACCAAAGCAGTACCACAGTTATCAGGAGCTGGAACAGTAAAACACCTTTGTTACCATTTTTCAACTAATCTGGTATAGATTTAAATTATCTGGTACATGCCACAAACCAAAGCAGTACCACAGTTATCAGGAGCTGGAACAGTAAAACACCTTTGTTACCATTTTTCAACTAGTCTGGTATAGATTTAAATTATCTGGTACATGCCACAAACCAAAGCAGTACCACTGTTATCAGGAGCTGGAACAGTAAAACACCTTTGTTACCATTTTTCAACTAGTCTGGTATAGATTTAAATTATCTGGTATATGCCACAAACCAAAGCAGTACCACTGTTATCAGGAGCTGGAACAGTAAAACACCTTTGTTACCATTTTTCAACTAGTCTGGTATAGATATAAATTATCTGGTATATGCCACAAACCAAAGCAGTACCACAGTTATCAGGAGCTGGAACAGTAAAACACCTTTGTTACCATTTCAACTAGTCTGGTATAGATTTAAATTATCTGATACATGCCACAAACCAAAGCAGTACCACTGTTATCAGGAGCTGGAACAGTAAAACACCTTTGTTACCATTTTTCAACTAGTCTGGTATAGATATAAATTATCTGGTATATGCCACAAACCAAAGCAGTACCACAGTTATCAGGGGCTGGAACAGTAAAACACCTTTGTTACCATTTCAACTAGTCTGGTATAGATTTAAATTATCTGGTACATACAAGTTCAAACAACACTTAACTGTTACAGCCTTAACTAAAATATACAACTAAACTTAACAACAAATACTTTTAAGTCTTTGTAATACAACTGAGTTTTAATATTTGTATTGAGCAAACTATTGAAGTCGCAATCAATTAGTCTTTGTAACTTAGTTTGAGTATTACCATTTTTAATATGCAAAAACTTGTTTTTAATCACCATTTTTCTCTATACACATTTTTACCATTGACATTAGTATAAAACTGATTTAAGTCTAACTAGTGAACTAAAAATGATCAATGTTAGCATTCAGACTTTAGCTTTAGTCAACTGACACTACTTATTTCCATGTATGTACATTTTCCCACAAAAGTGTTGCTCAACATAGTAAGTTGTGTAAAAAATCCCATACCTGTCCACCAAATATGAAGAATCCAGTGAACCTGTTTGAGTCATCAGACATGAGATCCTGCATCGTCCTCAGGGTGGAGCCCAGGTAGCAGTTGAGGACTGTCATAGGCACCAGGCCACCCACGCTGGACACCAGGTAACGCAGCAAGGAAATACTGGACAGCTACGAGAATTGGGTGAGGAAATTTATTTTGGACAGTTAAAAGAAAATAAAGAAATGAAAGCTTTTTTTTTAATTAATCAATGAGGGGGCTAGGTGGTGGCATGGTTGGATGGTAGAGCTGATGACCGGTAACATGGATCACGGGTTCGAGTCTGTAGGACACCCTGAGTACACCCAGCCTTGATGGTTACGTGGCTCAGATCAGGGAAACAAAGACAACTGGCATAGCGCCAGTGTTCCTTCCAGACATTTTTTCTCCCGGGGGGGGGGGGGGGGGGGTCACTTGAAATTTTCGGGGGAGGCGGTACTCTGCCCCCCCTCCCCCCCCCCCCCCCCCCCCAAAGAGATGCCTGGAAGAATCTCTGCATAGTGCTGACCACACTATCTCAATTGAACAACATCCTCTTATAATACTTGTCCTTAGCACTAACATTGATAGATAGCACTCAAAACCAACAATGTGATTGCTAATCAGCTATAGATGATCACAAAGTGGTACCCTTTAAAAAAAAAGTAAAAAAAATATTTAAACTTACAGAGAACAAAGCATTCTGTAGACCAAATGGTATTGGCGTCAACCTGGTCAAGGCTATGACCTTCATGCCATGTGACCCACTGACCACGTTAAGTATGGCCTCCACCTTCCTGGAGTAGAAGCGCGACCTCAGGTAGTCTGAGCACAGCAGACGCATCACAGGAGTTGATATAGAGAGACCTATTGTAACACTGAATGTGACTACTAGAGGCCCATACAGCAAACCATACAAATAGCTGTGGACACACAAAAAATCTGTCATTTTTAAAACCCTTTTTTTGTTTAGTTTTCTTTGTGAGAAGTATTAAATAACAGGTAATAAATAAACTATGAGGTGACAAAATACAGCAAACCATACAAGTAGCTGTGGACACACAAAAAATCTGTCATTTTTAAAACCCTTTTTTTGTTTACTTTTCTTTGTGAGAAGTATTAAATAACAGGTAATAAATAAACTATGAGGTGACAAAATAACGAGCATATTAACCATTTCAGTCTTCATGTGATAGAAAGTAATGCTAAATCTGACCTTTTATAAAAAATTAAGATGCTTTGTATAAACTGTGTTTTTAAAATATTGATAGCCTTATAATGTGACTTATAATACACAAAACCAATAATTCTTACAATAGTTTTGTGCATATAAAATTATTAATTATATTATACCATATAAACAATACATTTTCTAAAGATGACAGCTGCAGTAAAAAAATAACATTAAATTACAAACTTTATAATACGTCTAGAATCTATATATCTGTTTACAATGTTTTGAACTTAGACAATTAGTGTTTTCTCTATGTTACAGCTCAGTGTTTACACTTCTTTAACTTCAAACTATTTTCTATAACATTTCAATATGTATTAATTCAATACACTGTTTACTATTCAATATTTTAAACTTCAGATAGTTAACATTCTCTATAATTTTTCTATTAATTATGTGCTTTTTAAATGGTGTTTACAATTAAATATTTTCAGCTGCAGATAGTTAACATTCTCTATAATTTTTCTATTATATTATGTGTTTTTAAAACAGTGTTTAACAATTCAATATTTTTAACTTCAGATAGTTAACATTCTTTATAATTTTTCTATTTATTATGTGTTGTTTAAACGTTGTTTCCAATTCAATATTTTAAACTTCAGATAGTTAACATTCTCTATAATTTTTATATTATTTGTTTTTTAAATGATGTTTACAATTAAATATTTTAAAATTCAGACAGTTAACATTCATTAATTCATTAACATTCTCTTTAATTTTTCTATATATGTTAAAATGTATTTATTATAATGTACCATAACATCAAAACATTTTATAAACATACCCAGACGTGACCATGAGTAAAGACAGCCCCCAGGCTATTGGAAAGCTGATGACCACAAACAAGGCTGCGATGATTGACACGCTGGTGGTCGGCTCGACCTGCTCCAGCCACATGAGCCCAGAGCGGATGTGCCGGTGGCCAAACACCAGGAAGGTCACAATCAGGATGATGACAGCGATGGAGGTCAAGGACGTTCTGTAGCAGAGGTCGTTCGAGTCGGGTGTGTCTGTTGTGATGGCGTTAATGAGAACACTGCTAGGGCCTGCTCAGTTAGGTAATTTTTTTTTTTTAAATTACTAGAATGTTTCACTTTGGTCAATGGTAACCAATTTACACAGAAAACAAAAAAATATAGCGTATATTACAAAGATTTTATGAAAATGCTACTGTGACCGACTCTTTAAAAAAAAGAGTGTGATGGTGTCCATTGTCAGAAATTGGTAGGAAAAATTATGACCAAATTATCTTCAGTGACTTTATTTTAGTTTTTATGGTAAAACATACACGAACTAATCAGATGTTGCACCAATGTCAGGGTATTTTAGACTTGGGTTGTGCTAAAACGTGCAAGAGATGTTCCACTAGCCTACATAAATTTGTTTGATGTTATAATCAACATTTGTTAAAATTAAAGTGTTTTAATGAATAAAATGACATTGTATTAACATTTTACTCAATAGTCTGAATAGTCTCAATACTCAATTTCTGAACATATTTAATTGATGGGGATATAATTAGGAGACTGCTGGGTACTATCATTTCAAAGGCTAAGTTCACAGAACTAAATTAACTCAATCATGGACCACCAGGTTCGAAAGGGTAACTTTTCGTAACTTTTCGTTTTATTTTGTTGGAGATATTCTACCTAAATTATGTATCTAAAAACTTTTTTAGAGAATACGATGTAAAAACTCACCTCCATTGTCCTTGTTGCCTGTCATGTCTTTTCTGTCCTCCACACCTGCCTCTAGGTCCCTGGCCTTCGGATGCACCTGGTGGGGGTCACGTTGATTCAAGTTGGTGTCCAGCCCACCCCAGGACGCGGCTGGCTCCCCTTCACTGTGGTGGCCGTCACCCACGGGCAGGAACACAGCATCAAGCTCCGAGGACTCGCCTATGAACAGCTCAGGGTTTAACTTGAATTTACTCATTGTAGTTGTCCAGTTGGTGCAAGGTTCTTAATATCCTACAAATACAGGAGAAAAGAAACTATTAGGAATAATGGTATTAACAGACTTAAGTGATCATACAACCACAAACTGTACATGATCATACCCCACAAATTGTGAGTGACCATACCACCACAAATTGTGAGTGATCATACAACCACAAACTGTGAGTGATCATACCACCACAAATTGTGAGTGGCCATACGACCACAAATTGTGAGTGGCCATACGACCACAAATTGTGAGTGGCCATACGACCACAAATTGTGAGTGACCTAAACGACCACAAATTGTGAGTGACGATATGACAAAAAAATTAAAGTGATCAAATGACCACATACTTTTAATACACATATAACAGCAAACTAATTGATCAATTGACTAAAAACTAATAGCAAGTGAACAAATGACCACAGAATGTACATGGCCATATTACTCAAACTAAAAGTGAATGACCACATGATCACAAACTGAAAATGACCACTTGACTACAAAATAAAAGCAAGTGACAACATGCCCACAAACTGTCAGCAATTACATGTCCACAACTTATTGAATGTCCACAACACCACAAACCAAATAACCATATGACCACGAACTTTTAGCTACCACAAACTAACAGTTTGTGTAAACAAAGAAAAAATCATTAAACCCCAACAGTTTAAAAACTGTAACTACACACCACCATGTGCCATGTCTACATCTGCCAGGTAACTCAATCAAGCTAACAAGTCACTGAAAACCCAAGCAAATTATGAATTATTTCAACTGTATATCAACATGAGAGGGTTGGAGTAACCTGAACCGGTTCATTAACCACCAATGATGGCTGCAAATGTTAATGTAAAGCCCACCAGTACTTCATTAAAAATGCCATTACTGATGAGCCGGATGGGGTGTGCCATGACTGTTCCACTTATAATGCTAAATATAATTTTTTTAAAAATATTTGTAGGTGCTAAATTTAAATTGAACTTTGAAAGCTGTGGAACAAATTTCCTAACTTTTTTTTACCGGACCTCCCCAATAAACGTAAAATATATTAGTGCCTTGCACATACATCCTCACTTGTCAACATACACATAGACATTGAGTGTATGTAAAAAAAAAAAAAAAAAGACTCAAAAAATTGTTAAAAAGGTGTAGATCTACATTTCATTTTTAATGGGCTTGAAAAGTGGTTCAAAACTGTAGTTGCCAGAAAGCTTATTTTTTTTACCAAAAATTGAATATTTTATAAAAATGTGGTAAGCCTACACAATGGCTTACGGTTTTTTTAAGGCTAGAAATATTTAAACAAGTAATTATTAATAATTTAACATCTAAACATAACACTCTTAAAATAGTGAGACGATTACAATAATAAGATATGCAAATGCATTTATAACATCTTGAATCGAGCTAAAAAAAAGTCCACCATATTCAATTTGTTTTATCTTAAATTGCTCACTCTGTACTTTATATTTACTGTGACTTTCATTGTTTTACTTTCCCTGGCCACTCTGGTTTACTCATAGATAAGCACAGGATGATTTATAATATTATTTGAATTGGAAAAATAGACTCCTCATTTTTTTTTTTGTTGAAGCAGTTATTAGGAAAATTTGTGGACCGAAGGCCAAATGATCGTCCAAATGACTTAAATAAAATTTATTGTTATTCTGACATCTAAAAATATAGTACTGTACTGAATAAAGCTACGGTTTTCTATTTAAATTAGACTCAAATGATAAATTTAAAATCTATGCATTTCATTATAAACGTTGGACACCATATCACATAAGGATAATCAGAGATGTTTGATAAAATAATAAACTACGACCCAGTTTCATTTTTATTAAAACTGACTTTTTCGTACATATAACCACTTTTGGAGGGGAAAGTGATAGTTGCCTCCCTTATTTATTTTCAATTTATAAATGGGAAGTAACGAACAAATTAATAACCATTTTATATTCAAAGAGTTTGGGCGTTAATGTCCTCTCCTTGACTTTCTTATCAGTGGACACTTGTATGGTTTAGGCACCAATTTATTTATTTTCCAAGGGAAAAAAATATGTTCCAAAAGAAATAGTTTTAACGACAGTTTTACTTTTAAATGGGATAGCGTGGTAGGATGATAAAGCATACGACTGCTAACCCGAAAGTCTCAAGTTCGAATTCGGGTTAGTGTCAGCAGAACGCCACCCCAACTCTGATTGGTACCTGAGGCGGCTGGGCCTAGTGCTGACTACACTATACCTACATATGCCGAGGTTACTGAAACAGGTGAACTCTACTTCACTGCCCCGTAGAACGTCAGATTCAAAAGAGTAGTTTTATATGTTTGTAAGGAAAATTAAGTTTTTCACTACAATTCAAAACAAAACTTTCACATCTATGTATTACACTAGCATTATATGACAGACGTTTAGCTTTAATAAATTCAAATCACTTTGCTGATAAAATGTTGGCTTAAAAGCTTGGTTATAATTTGAATCTTTTGTTGTTGGGGAAAAAATAATGAATATGTGCTCACTCGTAAATTTTTTTTTACTAATTTATAGCATACGAGCCGACCCGCGGCGTATATAGTTGTTTTATTTTCTACTTTTCAGTATTTCATCATTTGTGAATTCGATACCCTGTCTCAGAGGCGTAGCGAGGTCGGGTGTCACCCGGTGCGGCACTTAATGGTGTCTCACCCCAGAGGCGTAGCGACCCTACCCGGGGACAAACTTTCAATTTTCGATTTGCACACCCCCCCCCTCCCTTCAAACTTTTGATTTGCACCTTTTAAAAGACTATTTAACACTCGAATTAATCACTTAATTAAGTGGAATTATCATTTTTCTCTATATATTTTGCTCTTTTTTGCATTGGTGTCACCCCCTAAATGGTGTCACCCCCTAAATGGTGTCACCCGGTGCGGTCCGCACCCCCCTGCCCTATCTACATCATATTCAAACTTCCACAGGGTGATGGGCGTCTTTAGTTACACCAGCTGCACGATCTATGCCGCAATGTTAGAAGCAGGAAGACAAAAGGTTGCCGCAAAGATCTTGTGACTTCATCAATTTCTTTCGGCAAACATCATTCATCATTTCTATGGAACCCTCTGTGGAGTCTTGGGACAATACCACAGCTCTCCATCGTACTGGGCGATTCCTGTCCAGTTTTGCTCTACAGTTCGGCATTGGCAATATTTTTTAGGCGACTTGATGTATATTTACGGCGCAGGGATCCCTTAATGTAGTTTATTCAACAAGCATGTTTCACAAAAAAAAAAACCTAGATGCCTCTGCCCACAGACTGTTCAGCCACGTTAACATATAAAGGATCGTATCTTCAAGGGTATGAACTTCCCAAATCAGCTCGGGAAAAGAAAATGGTAACAAACGACTATGACATAGTCGATCTATCGCAAACATTTTAAACTTAGTATCCAATAATGAGATGCGAAATCACATGATTTGAAAATGTACTATTGTCTATTTTTTTTTTAAAATTGTACTTGCATTTTTCACACCTCACCTTGCACGTGTAGCCGCACCTTCCATTTTAAGCCTTTAACTTAGATTTTAAAAACTGAACTTTATTTATATCAGTTGTGCGATCTTTCAACTGCGACACAAGAGAAAAGGTGCACGGATGAACAAAAAAGTCGTGTGACCCGTTCCTATATACCAGATGGAGACGCTGGGGCGAAACATCTTTTTCTGAGTAGTCACTTCGTTTTATTTAGCCAGTCAGTCGTGTTTATGTTGTAAAAGAGGGGGTGGGGTGAGGGGGGGGATTCAAACAAGTTTGAGCAAAGTTCCGAATCAATTAGACTATCATTTCCAAATTTCTTTTGTCGTTTACAACAGAAATAACGTGTTGCGACAGATGCTATGGTGCATCCAAAAAAAAAGGTCGAGGAATCCATGATATTCGATTACACTCGTTTTAACGCGCTGCAGGTGGCTTTCAGTTGGTGGAGTCAAAGGATAAGTGGAGTTTCGGTATGGGTGGAGGGGGGATAGGAGAAGTTTGGGGATGGGGATGGGATGAGTCAGGGATGGGGTGAGTCAGGAGGTGGGTGGTCAGGGGAGAGTCAGAGATTAGGGTGTCAGGGGATGGGGTGAGTTCGGGGACGGGGTGAGTTCGGGGATGGAGTGAGTTCGGGGACGGGGTGAGTTCGGAGATGGAGTGAGTTCGGGGATGGGGTGAGTCAGGGGATGGAGTAAGTTCGGGGATGAAGTAAGTTCGGGGATGGGGTGAGTTCGGGGATGGGGTGAGCGGTGATGGAATGAGTTCGGGGATGGGGTGAGTGCGGGGATGGAGTGAGTTCGGGGATGGGGTGAGTTCGGGGATGGAGTGAGTTCGGGGATGGGGTGAGTTCGGAGATGGGGTGAGTAAGATGATGGAGTGAGTTCGGGGATGGGGTGAGTTCGGGGATGGAGTGAGTTCGGGGATGGGGTGAGTTCGGAGATGGGGTGAGTAAGATGATGGAGTGAGTTCGGGGATGGGGTGAGTTCGGGGATGGAGTGAGTTCGGGGATGGGGTGAGTTCGGGGATGGGGTGAGTTCGGGGATGGGGTGAGTCAGGGGATTGTTGGAGTCGAGGGGTAGGTGGTCGGGTGTTAGGTGGTCAGAAAAAGGGTGGTGTTTGAGAATAGGTCGGAAGAAGAGGGTGAGTACACTAAATTAATATTTAAAAAGTAGGTTAAGGTGTACACGAGATGTACATGTATTTATTGTACCTTCTACAGCTTGGCGAGAGAGGAAAAAATCCAGCGACACTCCCTAAATAGATGTTCGTAGAATTTTAAAAGGAGACTCAAAATATCAGTTACCACTGTTAGGATTATGGGAAGTCGTAGCCTAAGTGGTAGAGCGCTAGCCTGCTAACCTGAAAGTCTTGAGTTCAAATCCGAGTCCATGTCAGTAGACCGAACCTGAGTCCACACAGCTCTGATAGGGAAAGAAAAGACGGTTGTGCTGACCAAAAAACATATTAACTCAATGTCATCTTCCCAAATGGACCGCTAGGTCTA